CCACACACTTGGCCCCAGGCATGGCCAATGATGGTCCAACAGTCCTCAGGCGGCTGTCAGAGTCAGAGCGATCATGCGTGATGCACGTCAGTGTGGCCAAAGCAAGCATGCTGCAGGTGTGAGATGCATGACATGCTCTGGCTGAGGCCCTAGCATAGTGCGAGGGCTGCCTGGCAGGCACCAGTGCGACGGATTGTGCATGCCATGAATGATCAGCAGGCTGAAGCCGGGCATTGCACTTTTCCCCCTCTGCCACATCCATGGGCCCTTGAGACCACCAGACCCACTGTAGCCACTAGAAGGCTGGAGTGCAGCACTGGATCCTACTTGATCCCATAGCCTTCACGCCTGCCACATCTGTGAGACGAGCTGTCTCACATCTTGGGAAGGTGTGAGGTAGTGCCTTAGTGCGCAAGGATGGTGGCAAGGATGCGTGATGTGCGAAATGTATTTGAAGAATGTGCATGCTGTACTGTAAGCCAGGAAGCTGGGTGCAGTCACGGCACCAGCCTTTGCAGCCAGTCCACGACCGCTCTGCCAGGTGCTGCAGCTCCACCTCATAGAGCTGGCCTCAGGCTGACACATCTATGCAAACGTGCCAAGCGCCAAGCCAACATGCAAATTGCACTGAGCTGCTTTTCAGCAGCCAGTGGACAATGATTGCTGCAGCAACGCTCCGGTGTCTACCAGCGCTGCAGGCAAAGCAGAGGCTGAAGGTCTGTGGCGTCTTGATCGCCTTGAGCCACTGGAGCCAGCAAAAAAGCCCCCTCCTCAGTTAGCGCCAAGTAAGTTTGACAAAGGTTCGTCTGACTGAAACCCGCGCCAGCAAGCTCTGAAGCCAGGGGGCAGCATGACAGCAAACTTGGGATGCTGGGCAATCCTCAGCTGAATGACGGGGTTCGTGCCCATGTGCCTGGTGTCCCTCGCCGGATCGTGGAAGGCATGCAGCGGGATCACCAGATCAAACATGGCATAGGTCTTCTTGTTTGAGAGCTGAGCTAGACCAGCTGAATAGACCTGCGCATCAGGGATTTGGCGGCCACACTCACCCCGCAGAGCAATATGCTTATTTTCTGGACCCCCCAGCCTTGACTTTGTGTGGCTTTGGCATGGGCTTGGGCTGGGGTCTTATCTTTGGTGCTGCCCTTGAAGTGGCATCATCATCATCATCATCACTGCCTGGATCAACTAGATCCACTGGATCTGGGGTGGCTGGATCCTCCACTAGGTCGGCTGGATGCTCTGGATCCACTGGATCCTCTGCGTCGCAGTCACTGACTAGGTCCACTTCCACTAAATCTGTTGGATCTGGGGTGGCTGGATCTGGATCCTCTGACTCTGGGGTGGCTGGATCCTGTGGATGGAAGTCCCTGACTGTGTCCGCTAGATCCACTGGATCCACTAAATGCGCTGGATCCTCGGTTGGAAGCACTGGGGCGGAGGCTGGCTCAATTGGACTGTTCTCTTGCTCAAAAGCCTCCATCACCTCTCTCCGGTTCTCCTCCAACCACTCCTGGAGCTGCCTTTGGATGACTTCTTCCTCAGCCATAGGACAGGGTTTGAGTGTCAGGCAAGGAGGGCTGGCTCAAAAGTCAACAGCCCCTGTCGCCAGGTGACAGCTTGAAGTCGCCCAGCTGGTACTGGCTTCAGCAGCACCGGGATAAAGTCAGGCGTCACCCTCACCGGCAGGCGTCCTTCGGGCAACCCACAGGGGAGACTGCAAAGCACAAAGGGCGCCCTGTATGTAACAGAATCACACACTAGCCAAGCCTTGGGTGCAGTTTGGGCAGGACAAGGGCAGGGTCCTGGCTCACAGGGAGGCTCAACGTTCTCCCGCTACGCCAGCTCTCGGTACTCCGCCAGGCACTCCAAGGAGATTCTCCCCGGCAAAAGGCAAACAACCATGGCTGTCGGGAGGGGGGTAGATGTGCTGAGCTGCTGTGCCTGCTGAGCGCCTGCTGTTTGCTGATGAGTGCCTTGCAGAAAAAAAGAGCTGCTGCAGCATGGGCCAAATAGCAGGCAATTTAGTAGCAGGCTGCACCTCAACTCTCTTCAAGTGCGCATGCTATCATGCACTAGACCTGCATGCTGCCCACCCCAGCCTCTCAGAACATCTCGCTGTGCTCCTCAGCTATGCCTTGGAAAGCGGAACCGATGCGCACAGGGGAGGGCCACTGCCATATAAGGGAAAAGTGAGAAGAAATGCAAGTGTGAGATGCTACACTTCCCATAGTTGCATCTCTTGTCAGGTCCCCTCATGAGCTTTGCAGTGCAGTGCAAACACCGTGTTCAATAGTGACGCTGTCAAGTGAGAAGTACGTGATGAACATATCGCAAGCCAAAGGGGGGCATAAAGCAGCCACACGATATGCATGCTTATCTCATGCATGCACTGCTCCTCATAATGTCTCGCACTTATGCAACGTGCTCTGACAGGCACCTCATGTCCCCCGCACTTTTGTATGTGTCTAACACATGTACATGTCTCTCATATGTCTGTCATAGTTTCTCATATTGTTCATATTTCTCATAGTTTATCATATTTCTCATAGTTTCTCATATTTCTCATATTGTATCATATTTTCTCATACATCCCATAGTTTCTCATAGTTTCTCATATTTCTCATAGTTTCTCATATTTTCTCATATTTCTCATAGCTTCTCATATTTTCTCAGATTTATCATATGTTCTCATATTTCTCATAGTTTCTCATATTTCTCATATTTCTCACAGTTTGTCATATTTTCTCATGCACGTCTCATAGTTGCTATCATATGTTTCTCAGATGTGTCTCATGCGTCTCTCATATGTGTCATCAAATATGCTACATACTTTCTCACACATTTCTCATACTTTTTCATATGTTACCCACACGTTCTCACACGTGTCTGACATGTCTGTCATACACTGGCATTATGCCACAAGCTATTTGCTTTCAACAAGTCTACCACTCAGACTCAAGCACATAGCTGTGGTGCATAGGAGTCATATAGTGTCAGCCATGCACTCAAACATGATTGCGCAATGCAAGCATGAGGAGGCCCGCCCGGGCTTCGTCATGTTTGAATTGTCAGTCATGCTGGCATGCTGCTGCCCTCTCATTGCCTGGACACTCTTTATGACACGCTGCTATTGCAAAACGATTACGTCACAGAAAGTGCGCCCCACTCATTAATTAAGCAAAGAAGTGCTTCCTTACAGGTAGGGTCCATGCTGGCTACAGAAACACACCCCCACTGTGACCAAGACTCATCTTGTGCGTGCATGCACTCTGAGGTTTGGTCAGCTTGCCATAGTCCATGCAGAGGCCTGGGCCGGGGGAAGGGGGGCACCACTACCCATGAGCAGCCAACGCTGGCCCAGGATGCTCCATGAGCTTGCTGAGTCTGAGGAAATTGTTGAAGCTGGTTTACTTGACCCTGTGGTTTACATATATTGCCACTTTCAGCCCAGTGCAGAGCGCCCTGTTTTCTCCTCCCACGTGATACTTGAAGCAAACTTCAGCCATGGTAAGGGCAGGTGTCCAAGGGCATGCCACCCAATATGAAAACCAAAAGAACATATTGGATACCTACTAGGAGCCCGAGACCCAAAATATAAGGGCCTTCACAAAGTGCCAGGAGTTGGGGTCAGTAAATGAGGTTTGGGACAAGAATGATGGATTCAGACACCCCCAACACCCTAATGGAGGGTCCAATCATCCTCATACCCCTCTGACTCCCCGCAAGCTCTCTCAAAGTGGACCAAGCAAAGGGGTGCTGCCCAATAAAAGTGGTGCTCTGGGTTTTGACCCACGCCAAGTGATCTGCTAGCAAATCACAGCGCCCCCTCCCTAAAAAGAGGAGGTTGGTGTTGGCTTCCCCTTGGTTTTCCTGTTCTGGCAGATCCTGTAAGGGTCACGACTCCTCAAGACCCTTGGACCCTCAAGACCAAGCCATTTCAGGCCCCATCGACACTAGGGTTATGCAACAGTGCCTACTGGGTAGCAAGATGGTCCAGTGGTCCAGTGGTAAAGTTTTCCAGTGGCTTACTGGACCACTGCACCAACAAGCAAACTCACAGTTGATGATTTCTCTGAGTTCAGCACTGCGCAGGCAGTAGCTCTGCCTTGCCTGGCGTGGCATTGGCCCCCTTTCAATGCCATGCCTTTCCATGTGGCCCTGCTACTCCCCCAATGTGTCATCAAAGCTTAAATAGCAAAACTGTGGCCCTTCCTGGCACAACCTTTGGAGGTGTCTAGTAATTATAAGAAGCCATGCGCTCTGAACCATGCAGCTGTACTCGCAAATGCGCCAGGCAGACCTCCTCATGCTGCAGGGCAAGCCGCTGCAGCTGCTGCTTGCGCCAGGGCATGTTCCATGTTGGCATGTAACATGTGCTTTGGACATGCCACTCCTGTGCTCAGCTCTTCAGCACAGGAGTTTCATGTCAGAAGCACATGTCAATCTTCTCAGTAATATGAACATGCACACACAGAAGCACACATGTAACCAATGAGGGCAAACAACGCACCACATGCGTGTCACAACCATAGTGCCTACCCACCCAATGCTCACTGTATTGTAACCATATCAAGCACTTAATCAACGCACATGTGTGGAAGCTATGCAAGCAACTTACCAACCCTCATGTGTGTAGCAATGAGTCTGGATGTGTGTGAATCTGTAGATAATTGCTCTGTGCTCCTCACATGCTTCTCATGTGTTTGCTAGAAACACATGTGAAGCATCTGAGAAACACTGGGCACTGAAATGCTCATGGTTTTATGGCATGCCGAATTGTTGTGCCAAAATGGTCTGATTTTCCCCCATAATGTGCGCATATGCTGTATACCAGTTACCTTTTGCTAGTATACCACTTCCATGGGTCAGAGTTTAAAAGCGATAGCCAAGGTCCAATCGAACCTCCTCCTGCATGCTTCTGCCGAGAGGAGATCTGCCTTTTGGCGGGTTCCACGGCCACGTGGGAATTTTGGGGGCACAAAATTCGGATCGCGCAGGAGGCCTTAAGGTGCGCGGTGACAAACCTGCGCTCCGAGTGCAAATCCATGCTGGAGCAGTTCGATGAGGCGAAGAAGCCGACAATGGCGCAGCGGGGTTCCTTTTGGCGTCCCCTTTAAAGAGCCACAAGAAATGGGGCAGGGCACCCTCAAAGGAGGCGAGCCACACAGAAGGTTTGGGGTTGCCACTTTCAGTACCAAGGGAAGCCCCCTTGAAGTGACTTTACAGACGCCGCTTGCCTGCATCCAACTGGAAGATATGAAATTCAACTGGTTGAATATTTGTGACCAAGTTGATGCATACGTTGGCCACTGCTTTTGTTTGCCTACGTCAGTCTCGTTTTTTTGGTCTCCAAAAATAAGAACCGCTTGTTTGTTACGTTTTGCTTTTACTTTGAAGCCCCAATCATTGCCAGACTTGGCTTACCTTTGTGAGTTTGGAGTATTTCCCTAGGTAACAAAAGCAGCTTTTGGCAGGAGGCCTGAGTCTGGCCAAGCAATGTTTGGACTTGCCCTTCCTCAGACGGACGCCCACTGTCAAAAGCGCGCGACTCAAGATCGGATCTTTTTTTTCAAGGGAACCACCAGCTGGTCTTCAAGCCAACCGTTGAAACCCAAATGAGATAATGTGTTTGCGTGCCACCTTTTGAAACGGTTTGCGCCGAAACTAGTTTCTTTGCCTGGTCACAGCTGCAGCATATGCAAACAGTTCTACGTTTGGCAAACTCTTTCGCACCGCATGGCCAAGCTTGGGGGGGAGGAAGAGGAGTTGTCCTGGACGCTTAGAGTCTCAGTTTCGCAGCCCCAGACCCACAACCAAGAACCCCCCGCCCTGCCTCCCTCCCCCCCCAACCCGAACTCCCAACCCGAACGTTCCGTGGAAAAACCGCCGATTCGTTGCGCATCCGTTTGGCTGGATCTCAGGGCTGCCACAAGCTCGGGGGCACGGGCATGGCCCTGGAGAACGTGGAGCCGCAGTCCTTGGAACCCTTGGCGCCTCGTCGGCCTGGTTTGCTGGTTTCAACGTACGTTGGTTCAAGCCCATGTTTTTCCGGGGGAAATTGGGCTTTGTGGGAAACCCTCTAATTTCCCCTCATCATTGGTCTTTTGGGCTGGTTTCCTCTGAAAATATGGTTACGCAATGGTTTCCACTGAAAGTGTGTTATTTTTGTCAGGTTTCCCATACCCATCACAGGGGTTTTCAAAAACCATAGCACCCGCGCGTAGTTGTGACAATGTGACATGTTCTATTTAAAGCTTAGCTTTAAGGGATCAACAAACCACCAGAGAACATGCTCGCCATTGGTATGACCCCTAATGTTCCATCAAGTATTCTCATAGCCCTTATATATAGGTGAATCCCTGGACACAAGGCTGGCCCATGTGACTTTCTCTAGATACTCCCCCACAGATTAATATGGAACCCCCAAAGTCGCCGTTTTAGTGGAATCTCCTGCGGGGTGCCACATGAATTGTGGATGGCCAAGGAGAGCGACCTGGGGTACAGCATGAGCGATGACCAGGGCGCGCGCTTTCAGGAACAGCTGGAGGCGGCAACTTCCCCCCACGTTCGGGTAGTTTTAATATAAACGCCCCCTTTTTGGACAACGAGTTGTTGTTGGGTGATGCTTCACGGGACTAAAGCCCGGATTTCTGACTGACCCCTCCCTCCAAAACGCCCACGCCAGGCCTTCGAGCAGCGACACGCCACCTACAGCCCGGAGTATTTGCCCACCTCCCCGGGGCGCTGAGGGTAGGGCCACCCAAAGCTACCAGCCTAGCGGGGGTTTGAAGGGACATGGTTTCCGCTGGCCCGGGCAAAACGAGCGGGCGTTCGCTGGACAAAGCACGAGCTTGCGCGAGGGCGGGGCGGGGGTCTAGGCGCTGGCAAGTTGGGATGCCATGATCAAAACAGGGACTGCTAACTGCTAGGGTCGGTTTGGTGGCAGGGGTGTGAACGCTTCGGCGCCTATGTTGCTAGAATTTAGAGCACCACCTGGCTTGGAGCGGTTTCCACCTATCGATATATTTGCCTTGGGTGTACTGCGACGCAAAAGGGTTCGGAGATCCCACCCCCTTCACGTGCATCCGCCACTGCATGAAAGGGTCGTTCCCCAAATTTGGGTGGGGTGATGTTTGAAGTTTGAAGGAGAAATATAAGGAACCCTGAAGTAGCATCTGAGCATCTTACCATTTTCCACTATTTTCCTATGAGCAAAGGAGCAAGGAGATTGCCGAGCAACAGCCTGCTATCCTTTTCCAAGTTTAGTAGCACTTCCTGCTCCAAATACATCCAAATTCAATGATTGTTTCGCAAACACTGGTTTTCCGTGGTAAACAACTCTCGCGCAGTCAGAGGTTCACATACCCTGAACAACATGTGGAGTAGAATACACCCAATGGGACTGAACTCCTGACACACACACGCGCTCACACACACACACGCTCGGCTCAAGTGGCCGCGGAAGTTCCCCACCCGACGGTTTGGACGCTGAGCCAAGATTTGCTGGTCACGACAAATTACCTGTCGCAGGCCTCTAGGAGCCCTACCAGTCTTCCACATTCCTCATGGCTTCCCCCTGGTCCCTGTTTCGAAAATGGGCCCGCCGCCGCCCTGCCTGTTTTGGTTCACAGAGGTCGAGTTGTGCCATTTGGACAATCCTTGCGCGCGGCTTCCCTTGCGAGCCGCGATGGCCTGGGGACCCAGTGAACCGAAGCCATTCGAGATCGCCGGGTGTGGCCTGAAGCCACGCGTTAAAATCAATCGGTGAAGCAGTCCCCTTGCCACGGACACATGTACATAGTTGTGGGACCCTTAAAACGTGAAGACCCTGAACATGACTCGACTCCAGGTGGGGAGCAGCTAGGCTTTGGGCTGAAACGTTCTCTCTCGCCCGAAAGCCCAGATCAAATTTCCCAAGCAGCCGATTGTTGATGCAAAAGAGAACACATCGAGAGTTTACTTGGACATGCGAAATGGGGAGGTTTTGCGGCAATATCCAAAGGGGATCCCCCTTAAAACTGGCGAGATCAAAAGTGGTACACTTTGGAATCACAAGGCCGACCGCATGGAAAGTCAAAATCCAGCGGAAAAAGGCGTGGTTGCCGATATCAAGAAACAAGAAGCTTCGGACATTCGCCCACCCACCAAAAACAGTGAGAGTTGGCAAATGTTGCCAGTATCTTGTTTCTGAGAAGCTTGTTAGAATGCAAAGGGCCCTTCCAGAGGCAGGCACGCCGGATTCGTTCAGAACTTCTTCCTTCCCCGTAAATTCCTATGTTCCCTGTGCAACTTTCCCGAAGGAGTTCTGAAAAGGAGATTCCTCTTCAACTGAGTCTGAGTGATTTCTTGCATTCCATTTGCTGTGTGGAAAAGAACCTTTACAGCTTGAAGTCCCCAAATAGAGTATATCTCCAGTGCTCCGGTTCTCTTTGAAACCCTCCGACGTGCTCCAAGTCAAAAAACGGCAGACTAACACGGAGAAGCACGTCGGCCATGTTTCGCGCTCGTTTTTGTTGGGCATGTCGCCGTGTGGGCTTCCGAAAGCCCCCCCCCAGGCCCAAACAACAGCCGCCCCCATTTTCCGACTTTGGTAATCCCCAGAAACAGTCAAATTCATGGCCCCAGTGCTAAGGGCTGAACCGGCTTCTCCTACAAAACCACGGGTAGATGAAATGTATACTATGACATATGAATCAGAATCTGAACATCTGAATTTCTGTGTACCCCACGCGTTGGGCCAAGTCAAACGGAAAGCAACTTGCCAGTTTTTTTGTTGATTGATTTTGAGATGCACAATAGACTGCCTTGTTGCGGCGGTTTCCTTGGGTGGTTCCTGAAATATTGCGAGTGGCTTCACAAGGGAAGCAAAAGGAACCCTGCCACTGCATGTTCGGATTCCGGTTTTCAACATTGCCAGCGGGGGGAACCCCTTTTCATTTGGATTCTTAAAATGCCCCTGTATCCAAAGACGTTATTCGGACCTCGTTGTTTTTTTTAGATCCCCAAAAACGTGGCTGGTTTCAATCGGGATCAAGTTTGCTTCTCGAGGTAAAGACGAGCCAGGCCACGGCAGGGGGGGGGGGTTCTGGGCGTTATGCGCGTCGGATGTTGCAGGCGGTTTCAAGCCGTTGGCATTGGCAGCTTGAATCCAAAGAACTGACCAATTTGGGTTGTTTAGCCTGGTTTTCCCAAGTCAATCCAGACAACTTCAGGTATTTCCGGGGGTATCGAGCTTGATCCAGAGTGCTGGGAAGAGACGCCAACATCGACTTGCAAAGCTTGAGAACTGCCAATCGCTTGACAATCCTTTGATACCTGGACCCTCAAACTACTGTTTGCTCTTATCACCACCTCCTCTTCCCTGCCCTCTCATGGCCGATACCAGAAAAGGGGTCCTGGAATAGGAATAGGACGGCAAATCGCGATGCTTATTTTCCAGGGCTGGAGAGTGTCTGTATTCTTGACACTGCCTTTGAAGCGGACCCTTTGTGAGCTTGGCAACCTTAGCTTGTTAAAGAAAATGTAGCAAGCAATGTTATGTTTCCGGACAACTGACTTTTGATATTAGAATGTCAGAGGACTGTAAAATGATTTGTTTGCAGGCCTTGTCAAAGTACTCACATGGCTTTCATAACATGTATGGCTATTGGTTGGTTTGTTTTTCTTGCCGGGGGGTACACACATGAATCTCGATTGGGGACCCTTTGCGCATATGAGGGAGTCATGTCCATCAACCTTTGAGGCAGTTCCCAAACAGAATTCATAAGAGTTGTTCAAGAGGATGTCTTTGTCAACTTGGAACCCTGCGTGACCCTCTTCTGATTGAAATATCTAGCATGCCACTGCGACAATGCTGCAGCGATTCGGCCCGTTCAAACTCGAGCAAGCCATGGTTCTACAAGCACTCACACTTTCTCACGCTCCTCACTTGATCCCTGCATTCCAGCTTCACATAAGATATGATATGCGCTAACTTAAACTAGGGAACCCCCAAAATGGTGGTTTTCATTCTGGTTTTCAACCGACCCACAAAAGGGTACTCTCCAAAAAACACACACACACAAAAGCAAAAACGGTGTGAAGCAGATAGAGAGAGATCGGTGCCAGCTCAGGTGGCCAAGCGCAAGGTCAAGAAGACGGTGACCAAGGCCTGTCAACGTTACCATTCCCAGTGCTTCCACGCAACCTCGGTGATTCAGCCTTAAACCCTTTGGTTGAAAAAGAGACAATCAGCACTTGCATCCTTACACCTATAAAACGGTTAAAAAAGATTCGCGAAACCGGGACACATCCTCATTTTAGTCGACAGTGCTTTGGAATGGTTTCGGGTTCCGCACCTCTAGGCTGTACCATGGATGGTTTCGGGAGCTTGGGGTTATAGCGACTTGATCCTCAGTTCCGATCCAGTAGATTGGCGAGAACAACATGTGCTTTCTGCTTACCACCGAAATGGTCAAAGCCCAAAAGGGTTTGTCTCAGAAGAAGGGACCTCAAACTTGGTGGTTTTCCTTGTGTTCCCATTGAAACCAGGGTGCCCTCAAAAAAGACACGCCCTTTTAGCGTGACTAAAGCAACCAGAAACTCAGTGAATGCCAGCAGAGCGCCTCCACGACGTTGATCAACCCTAAGCCCAGGATTAGCAAACTTTTCTACCACCATGACCCCCCTCGCACAATCCCATGCATGGTCCACTCTGCTTGCTGCAGTGTTGATGTATCTTGGTGTTGCAGCGTCGCGTTTTGGCTGCCCCTGCAGGGGTTTGTCAAAGACAGGACGGTCACAGGAAGTTTAACAACAAACTTCCGTTCTACTGGAACTGAGCTAGCTGCTTGATGACAGATAGCTTGACACATAGACAGCCTTCCAATATGGCTAGCGTGACAGATACATAGCTTTGACATAGCTAAGTTGACAGGCATAAAGCTTTAAGATGCACGGACGTGCGCCAAAAAGCGATGAAACATGCTGGAATCAGGAGAGCTGGGGGATAGCAAGATGCAGAGAACGTTGGCTTTGTGCGTGAATTGGGCTTCCGGACAGCGCAAACCACATCAGTTGCGACGCCTCTACAGAGGCGCTCTCGGAACGGGCTCGGAACAGTCTTGGAGACGGGACCATTGGCACGGCCACGCGAAGGTTTCGCAAGGTTTGACACGCGTGGCAGGCGCTGCAGCTTCGCACGGTCAGGTGCAGATTTCGTGGCAGGCGCAGCCCTTTGGCAAGGTCAGGTGCGGATTTCGTGGCAGGCGCAGCGCTTCTGCAAGGCAGGCGCAGGAGTTTCGCAAGATCAAGTACAGATTTCGTGGAAGAGGTAGAGAAAGAAAGAGACAGAGAGAGCAAAGAGAAAGAGAGAGAGAGAGAGAAAGAGAAAGAGAAAGAGAAAAAGAGAGAACAGAGAAAAGAAAGAGCAAGAGAACGAGAAAGAAAGGAGAAAAGAAAGAGTAAGATAAAGAGAAAGAGAAAAGAGAGAGACAAGCAAGAGAAAGAGAAAGACAAACAGAAAGAGAATGAAAAGAGAAAGAGAAAGAGAGAAAGAACGAGAAAAAGAAACATAAAAAGAAAGAGAGAAAGCAAAGGGAAGAAGAAGGCAAAGAAAGGGAAAGAGAAGGAATAAAGAGAAAAGAAATTGAAAGAGAAATATAAAAGGAAATGAAAGAGAAAGAGAAAGAAAAGATAAGAATGAAGAAAAGAAAAGGAAAGAGAAAGAAGAAAGAGAAAACAAGTTGAAAGATAAATGAAAGAGAAATGAAAGAGAAAGAGAAAGAAAAGAGAAGAATGAAGAAAAGAAAAGGAAAGAGAAAGAAGAAAGAGAAAACAAGTTGAAAGATAAATGAAAGATAAATGAAAGAGCAAGATAAAGAAGGAGAAAGAGAAAAATAAAGATGTATAGAAGGAGAAAGAGAAATAGAACAGAGAAGAAAGAGAAAGAGAACACTGAAAGATAAATTTTCAAGCAAGAGGAAGAGATCAAGAGAAAGAGAAGCAGACATGGAAAGATAAAGAGAAATAGAAAGGGAACAAAAAGAGATGAGAAAGATAAAGAGACAAGAAAGATAAAAATACATAGGAAGAGAAGTCAAAGAGAAAAGAATGAGAAAAACAAAAGAAACAGAGAGAGAAAGAGAAATATGAAGAAAATAGAGAAGAGAAAGAACGAGAAAAAGAGAGAAAAGAGAAAGAGAGAGAACAGAGAAAGAGAGAGAAAAGAGAGAGAGAGAGAGAAATATAAAGACAAAGAAAAGAGAAAAGAGAAAGAAAGAGAAAAAAGAGAGCAAAGAGAAAAAGAGAGACAAGAGAGAAGAAAGAGAAAGATAAAGAAGAGAGAAACGTGTTTCTAGAAACTTCCGACCACCAGCTTGGCCGGCTCTATATTCCGACCCTCGAGGCTCCCTTTCTGTTTGGTGGGCGCGGGACCCCAAAGAAAATGTCAACCCCAAATAGGGGTCCCTCATTTTTCAGAAAGGGATGTACTGAGCAGTGGCTTTTTGGGCCCAACCACATTTGCCTCTGTACTACCTTTGGCATTTGATCTTCTGAGATTCAAGCCGAAAAAGCAACAAGCATCGAGAAATCGAAGCAGAACTAATAAGCAAAACAGAACTATCTCACAAAGGACATGTTTAGGTCTTGCAAACTTACAAGTCTGAAGGCGGAAGGACAACATGGAGATGTCGAGGAGCAAAGCAAACAAGTAATCTGACAAAGCTAGTGTTGGGGTCTTGCTCATATGCCAAGAATTTCCCCTGCCATTTTATTTTTCCGGTTTGCAGTTTGCCTTGTGCCAATCGTTTACCCTACGAGATTGTTGTGTTCTCAAAGTTGTGTTTCTTCTCTTTTTGCAGTGTGCCAAGAATATATGTGCCAGATGTTTTTGTTCCGCGATTTCTGTCTGCATTTTGCTGGAAAGTACATCCTTTCAATAGTTTGTTGATGACCATTTGTTTCGAAGCCAAATGAAGCTTAATCAGGAAACAAGTCAAGTAGAATGTCTATCTTAAGGTGAAGCTTCAATAGTATTTCCGTTTCATTGTGTTTTGAAGTTTAACTAGAATTTGAATGTAATTTAATAACTACAGAAACAAAGTATTGAAGTGTATTGCTCCTTAGAACAGTTGAACACCAGTAAGCAAACTCGAGACATATGCAACTTCCATTCTATTCATTTCGGACTAATCAGAGTTATTATATTCTTACTAACATGCTAATTAAGTTGAATCAAGATCCTGTTTGCAAAGGTGTTCCAGTTTAAATCCTAGCTTGAGATACAAAGGCAAACTGATATCTTTCCACATTTCACTCTACAAGTTCTTCTGTCACTGCCTGCAGTTGCTTTGCTGTAAAGTGCCCTGTTTGCAAGATGAGTGATTTACACAGACAACTACACAACTCACATCATCCCCCTCTCCATATTTCCATTGTCGCAGAAAACCGGGAGTATCGGATTAACCATGATTTGAAAGCATGGAAGCGGACAGGAAGGTTTGTGAGGACGACTTTGCTTTCAGGGAAGCCCCCGGAACCGACTTCCATGATTGCTTAGAGGGTAGCTACAGCGGCCTTGCCCATGATCAAGGTTCCATTTGAGCGCTCGAAATGTTCGGAAAGGTCTACCTGCCTAAATGAGGAAGATCAAAAGGCCGAAATACATGAGCAACAGTCATGATATTTAGGGACGACGTTCGCTGCACACACACACACACAGACACAGACACAGACACACACACACACACACACACACACACACACACACACACACACACACACACACACACACACACACACACACACACACACACACACACACACACACACACACACACACACACGCGCCCAGCTTACCGGAAGAGCACTGATAGGACTGTACTCACCAATCCAACGGTTCCAGTTAAGTTTTAGTCGGTTTGGTTTCTTGCCTCTAGCTTTTGCATGAGGGTTCCCCCGGGTAATTTGCAGTACTTGGCAATCCATTTGTTGTCCCCCCAAAATGGCGGGGGGTCAAGGCAGAATCTAAGGGCCTGAATAGTTAAAAAATGGTTTGTGGGCTACTGCAAACCAATTTCAATCATGATCATAGGATGGTGTTATATAATGTTAATATTTCTTTTGCCGCGCAAATTAGACCTATTTGGGTAGATGAAATCGTAATCTCGCAAAGGCGAGTTGCGATCGATTCTCAATGATGACGGTTCCTTTCATTCGGGACTCTTAGTTCAGCTTGGTGACCGACCATTTACCCAGATCTGTGCCACGCTCAAAGAAACCAGCTACTGGAAATGGTTCAGTTCGCCGAGAACCCGCCGAAACATGGGTTCGGGCTAAATGTCCTGTAGCATGCCTTGTAAGTGGCTTAAACACGCACTGCGCACCAGGCATGGTACGAGAGCTATGCGGGGGGCAAGGCGGATTACTACCAGCGGTACATGGACAAGGACAAGTAGCGGTGCTCGCGATGAGCGGCGACATGCAGTGTTCCATTTGAGACAGCATCTGTGACTTTTAGGAAAACCACTCCCCTACAAGTTCGACATTGTTCTCCTGAACCTTCATTCATACCTCCCTGAACATTCACCCAGACCTTCAGTGGCGCCTGTTTGTTCATTTGGGGTTGCTTGCTTACCTCTGAAAATCAAGTGCCAAAGGAAATGGGGTGCCCCTTCTCTCCTATGGCCACTGTGAGGGGGTGTGCAAATAGGGGGACCCAAAAACCGTGTGGTTGCCTTTTGGTTTTCTTTCTTGTTTCCCTTTTCAAGCACCTCCAAAAGGTGAACCTCCTCCATGCGAATTGTCGGCAGGGCAAGACCCTTGGCAAACGCAGGAGTCCACGATGGCTCTGAAATGGGAACCCGGGCTGAACCCAGCTGTAATTCATGCGGGTGTGGATCGCTTCTCAGGGTACCCTTTTCTGGATCAAATGGTTTTCAAACTCGAACGCGCCAATGCCAACCGGGGTGCATTTTGCCTAGTTCCCACCCTCACACCAAACATGGTTTCGTGCACCGCACAGGCGAAACAAGTTTCCAACCACTTCCATTTGCCCCAGATTGTGAGTTGGTTTCTTGGTGGGCTTGCAGGGACTCTATCACTGACGTATTCGCAAATTGAGGGAAAGGAAAGTTGTCGTTCAAGAGGGGTTCGTGCCCTACCGCAGCAGGGCGCTTCTATGCAGTTCAGCTTTGGTTTTTCCACGTGCCCATTGGGTGCTTTCTTAATCAAAGCTACGAGTGGGACCAAACGGCAAGGGTTGTCTGACTTATTCTTTGACAAGCAACGGGTTAAGGGTTTCGGACCCCATTTGTGTAAAATGATATTCGATACTCCATGTTTAGTGGTTAGGGGCTCTGGGGAACCCGTGTGAGAGGTCAACTAAAACGGATGCCCCTCTCCAAAACCACAGCTGATGAGCTAGTACGTGCTTCTACTACCCGGTGTCGTGAGGGCTATGGGCTACCGTAAGATCTATAGTTAAACCTGATCAGCCCCGAACCAACCCTAAGCCAACAAAAAAAAAGCACCCCCAACCCACCACAGACCTATGAAGCCCCCTGAACCACACCTACACTAACCGTAAGCCCAGCCTAAACCAACCCCAAGCCCAATGTAAACAAACCCTTACCAACCTTCAACCAAGCCTAAACCAACCTTAAGCCTACCCTAGACCCACCCTAAACCAACACTAAACCTACCCTAAACAAACCACACACCAACCCTAAACTCATCCTATAGAAACCCTGGCACCCTAAGTCACGCTTAAAGAATTTAAAACCCACGCTGAGCCAACCCCAAACCCACCCGAAACCAGTCGTAGCTCAGTGCACTTCCCGTATGGCCACAGGCTTAACAAACAAACGATGGAGGGTTAAAAGGAAAAGGTAGACGGACAAAAAGGGGGAGGGTTAAATGAAACATAGATGGAAGGGTTGGATACAAACAGGGTTGAACAAGAACACAGGTTCGGAGTGCTTCAAATAGGCTTTGAATGGGCTTTGCACCCTCACTCATGAAGCTTTGTGGCAAATGAGCTCGCCGAGGTTGATGGGTCTGTCTTGTTTCGAGGGTACCCGCTTTTGGGCGAGTGTTAAAGAACAAATCAAGCGGAACACCACGATACACCAAGTGTTGTGTTGATATGTGTTGTTTGTTTCCAGGGGGGGGGGGTATAAAACGACGCACCTGTAGGGTTGAAGTGCCCTTCGTGGCGAAGACTTGAAGACCAAACCGGTGGAGAACGGAAATTTATTGAACCTGCAGCATATTTTCGCGAACCTGCAGATGTCTGTCATGCTCCAGCATTTGTTTATTGACCCCCAGCATATTTTTCATTCAGCCACAGATGGAAGTGGGCATGTGTCAAAATAACATCAAACATGGCTTCGCAAAGTCAGCATGTCCAATTTAACGAATGCCCATGTTTCCTTGTCAAATTTGTGTAACAAGCCCCTGCCATTTTTACAAGCGATTCCACTAATGCGGGTTGGGGTGGGCGGGGGGGGTAAAGCTGAGTGATAAAACATGCAGGTCCTTCAGCTGATCCTGCACAGATCACAGGACCGCGTTGGTTTCTCTTCAAGCCACTAAGGGTACCCGGACCCTCAAGCTTGCCTCAAAAAGGGATGCCAGCCCCACAACTTTGGGGGGTTTTGACCCGGTAATAGCTCGAGGGTTCAGGTACGCTCAGGCAACAGCATTCAAAGGTTGATCTTGGCTTTCTTGCCCGCCTTCCCCACTCTGGTCAGGAGTGGGGCGTGCCGATCTTCGGCCGCGGCCGCAGCCGCACCTCGGAAGACAGCAAGAGCAGGTTCCCGAACCCTCAAGCTACCTGGTCTCCAAATGGGGAACCCTCAAACTTGGTATGAATTCCCACTTTAAGGGTAGTTTCCTTAAAGGAAACTACCCTTAAAGTGGGAATTAGTTTTAATGGGTCCCGAAATGACCCCAAAAGGGGATGGATACGTTTTGTCATATTTCCAGATACCCTATGCACCCAAACAAAGCATGAGATCGATGGCATCGATGGCTCCTTGCACCCCCTAGTTGTTCAGGGAAACCCTTGGGAGCGAAACATGGAATCAACCCCAAAAAGAGTTGGAACCAATTCTTTTCTACCATGGTCAGCGAGGCAACTGGGAATGGGAATTGTTGATTGCCCCAAGGTAATGTCGACCCCGGACTAAAATAGAAGTACAAATAGGAGGGTGGTTCTCCGAGAAGAGTGAAGGATTTCCTCTAAATTTAAGCGGGTCACGCCTCCCAATCAAAATAATCCAGGTCTTCATTCATCAACTGGTTTCCCATTACATTCAACTCCAGGGGCCCTGTGCCCTGAGAAATCGACCTGACTCTGAACCCCGTGTTAGGTGTAAATTTCCCGCGTTATGCCTTGGCATGACAGCGTCGCACGGGCAAAAAATAAACATGAGTGTGGGGGAGGGGAATATTCTCTGAAATGCCAAACAGTGCGCTCCTCGTCACGCAGAGAAGAAACCTTTTCCCGCAGCGTTTCTGGCATGTTGTTTGACATCATGTTGCATTGCAAGGTTCAGCAAATGTACTCCAGAATCAAATGTATTGTGTTTTGCTTTTTGCAAAAGCTGAGGTAGGCTTAGAGAGTCTGCGTTGTGGCTATGGGCATACGGTTTAGAGAAGAGCACCAGGGTGTTCTGCCGGTTTCACTTAACATCATTCAGGGAAATTTGTTCTTCATCATCCGAACTCTTCAACTTAGAGAGTTGGATCCCAAAAAGTGATTGGACGCCTCTCATTCAAGGGGGGTGTCCTTTTGGTTTGGCTGGGAGACCATGCGTGCCAACTCACATGGGTTGGGTTCTTTGTGTAGAGGGACCCCCTTTTGTTCTTGAACAGCCAAAAGAAAGCCAACCAATTTGGGGGAGTCCTCTATTTTGAGACAAATCCAGTTGGCGAACTAATTGCACACAACCTTCTTCTATGATCACAAAATCTTCACAGTAGACTTGAACTCAGGGGCCCCGTCTTTTTTTGGAGAAATCAAGCAGTGTCGTGTCAATCGTGGAACCTCGATCAGTTGCTCCATGTGCTCACTTGCCACTTGCTCATCTCGCCCGAGCACCTGGCCCTTTAAAGAAGCGAAGATGTGGGTGTGGGTCAAAAATAGGTAGGTAAATGGAAACATGGACTAAAACCTGCGGTTTCCTGGTGGTTTAATTTTGACCCATACCCATGCGTTGGAAGTCCAACTTCATTTCCCAGCTGAAGCTGCGGGTGCCCCTGCCCGAATCAAGCTCCAGAGTTCGGATCTGGGCAAGGGTTCCGGAAGGGTGCGGGGTTGCTGCAGATACCACCTGGGCTTGCGAACTCAATATCCACCGCCACCGCGAACTGGCAGCTTTGCTGGCTGTGCTGGGACCTCTCCCATTTGCCCCCTCACGGCCATCGTGATTCCTTTTTTTTGAGCCCCACCAGGCGATCAGGAGTAGAACACCGATGTGGACACTAAATCGATGATGGCCGAAAAGATGAACAAATCCTAGGTTGAACAATGACCAAGTTCCGCCGGGCTTCTTTATGAAACCCATCAACCAGATAATAATCAGATCAGCATCTTGCAGGGGGAAGTCTAAGCAGGGGCTGCGTTTCGCGTTTTGTTGCGGCATCGTTAGGGGACAACAAGCTCTTCGAGATGCTGACCCTGGAAGGCGCTCAGGCGGGTCTCAGCTGGGACACCATCCTGCGGAAGCGCCAGGCGCGCGTCGGGCGAGTCGGCGCGCGCGCTGCGCGTGCCGCGCAGGTTGGCGTGCAGGAGACTTGGGGGCGGCGGGCCACAAAGAACGGTGGGAGTATCGGCATCTCTGAGTACTTGCAGACATGATGCGGTTCTGAGTTATGATTTTTTAAGAGTTGGGGCCACTTGCCTAAGTGGTTGGTGGCAGGACAACTCCCCACCGAAATGATGCAGGCTCTCCCATCATTAAAAAGGATCACACCCACATATTTTAACGCCTCCGGCTCAGGCCGCCGACATTACAGGCCTGCTTTCTTATTTGCGTCCCTTTGGAATTGTCCCCTTGCCCCCTTCCCCTCTGAGATTTTTGCCCCCCTTTCTTTGTTGAGATCCATTCCCCCTTTCCGCCCTAAGGCCTTTTCTCCCTCTGATTTTTCCCTTTTCCTCCCTAAGATATTTTCCCCCCTCTCGCTGTTGAGATCCTTTCCCCCCTTTCCCCCCTAAGGCCTTTTCCCCCCTGAGATCTTCTCCCTTTTCCTCCCTTTCCTCCACTTTCCCCCCTACGGCCTTTTCCTCCCTGGGATCTTTTTCCTTTCCTCCCTGAGATCTTTCCCCCCCTTTCCCTGTTGAGATCCTTTCCCCCCTTTCCCCCCTACGGCCTTTCCCCCCGCTGAGATCTTCTCCCTATTCCTCCTTAAGATCCTTTGCCCCCTTTCCCTGTTGAGATCCTTTCCCCCCTTCCCTTTAAGGCCTTTCCAGATCTTCTCCCTTTTCCTTCCTAAGATTGTTTCCCCCCTTTCCCTGTTGAGATCCTTCCCACCCTTTCCCCCCTCAGGCCTTTCCCCCCCCTGAGAGCTTCTCCCTTTTCCTTCCTTAGATCTTTCCCCCCTTTCCCTGTTGGCCTTTTTTCCCCCAGATCTTCTCCCTTTCCTCCCTAAGATCTTTTCCACCCCTTTCCCTGTTGAGATCATTTCTCCCCTTTCCCCCCTACGGCCTTTGCCCCCAGATCTTCTCCCTTTCCTCCCTAAGATATTTCCCCCCCTTTCCCTGCTCAGATCCTTTCCCCCCTTTCCCCCCTAAGGCCTTTCCCCCCCTGAGATCTTCTTCCTTTTCCTCCCTAAGATCTTTTGCAATTTTTCCCTGTTGCGATCCATTCCCCCTTTCCCCCCTAAGGCCCTTTCTCCCTCTGAGTTCTTCCCTTTTCCTCCCTACGATGTTTTCCCCCCTCTCCCTGTTGAGATCCTTTCCCTCCTTTCCCCCCTAAGGCCTTTTTTCCCCCGCGATCTTCCCCCTTTTCCTTCCTAAGATCTTTCCCCCCCTTTCCTTGTTGAGATCCTTTCCCGCCCTTTCCCTCCTAAGGCGCCTAGCGGGGGTTTGAAGGGACATGGTTTCCGCTGGCCCGGGCAAGTTTTAGGAAGCCGGTCATGTTTGACACATGAGTTGTGTCAAGTTGGTTAAAGGGCAACCAGACTCTGTTTAGATGGTTTTACATGAAACGCAAAATGGGAAACTCGCAAATTTAGGGGGTCCGCTTGTTTGTGGGTCAACTTTGTACTATCGGAGACATCTTCACCGTTGACTAACATGCTGAGGGTAGAAATGATGAAAACCGGTTTAGGGTAGGTGGGTTCCAACAAACTTGTTTTTCAGTCCTTAGCCCTGCCTGGGTCTCCGTCATGCTCCTTTTTAACCAGCAAGATCATCGGCCGCAGAGTGCACAATGAAGAAATTCAATACCATCTGGTTATATGGCAGTTTTGTGCCAGGATTCTGGCAAAGTTCGAATAGTTGTTCTATAGAGCAGGTGGCACGCTAGTGTCCCGTGTGTGCCGTTTGATGGCACCCTCTTAGACCCAGGGCCCTTAGGAGCCTCGCGCTTCGCGTTACGCGACCGCGGTTAACGACTGCCAGGGAGCACTGCTTTGGAAGCATTCCACTGAAAGCGTCTGCCAGTATCTCGGGTGTGAGAAGGGAGCCGCAGCTTGCCTGACATTGGACAAGCCGCCGTTTTGGTAGCAGCAGGCTCCCGGTCTGTGAGACAACGAGCGGGCGTTCGCTGGGCACAGGGCATTGTGACGCGTCGAGGCCACGGAAGCTTGTTGTTACTGACGCTTCCTGAGACTGCGACTCTGGAAAACTGTGCGCCGCAAGACGACGGATAGCGTGATGCAAGGACCACCCTTGTCGCTTTTTATGCTTGCGCATCAGCTTGCGGGTCAGCGGCGAATCCAAGTCCAGGACAAGCAGAGAATCGGAAAAGGAACAGCTGGCAAGCGACTCAGGCGACACATCAGAATCTGACACGTTGTCCACACTGCAATCTTCGGGAAATGACAGCGGGAGCGAGTTCCCCCCCAAGATCTTCTCCCTTTTCCTCCCTAAGATCCTTTGCCCCCTTTCCCTGTTGAGGTCCTTTCCCCTCTTTCCCCCCTAAGGCCTTTCCCCCCCTGAGATCTTCTCCCTTGTCCTCCCCAAGATCCTTTCCCTTGGTTGAGATCCTGTCCCCCTTTCCCCCACAAGATCTTCTCCCTTTTCCTCCCTAGCATCCTCTCCCACCTTTCCCTGTTGAGCTCCTTTCCCCCTTTTCCCCCTAAGGCCTTTTCAGATCTTCTCCCTTTTCCTCCCAAAGATCCTTTGCCCCCTTTCCCTGTTGAGATCCTTTCCCCCTTTCCCCCCTAAGGCCTTTTCCCTGCCTGGGATCTTCTCCCTTTCCTCACTGAGATCTTTCCCCCGCTTTCGCTGTTGAGATCCTTTCCCTCCTTTCCTTCCTAAGGCCTTTCCCCCCGCTGAGATCTTCTCCCTATTCCTCCTTAAGATCCTTTGCCTCCTTTCCCCGTTGAGATCCTTTCCCTTCTTCCCTTTAAGGCCTTTCCAGATCTTTTCCCTTTTCCCGGAAAAATGTGCCCGGTCATCTTTGTGATTCTGAGACGGCTAACTCCGGCTTGTCACGCGGGCGTGGCCAAAAAAAGCGAAGCAAAAAGTGGCACGACGAGAAACAAAGCCCTGGACATTGGAATAAGCACTGCGCTGCTCTTGCTTGTTTTTGTTAGACATAGATGCGCAGGGCGCCTTATGCAGGACTGCAGTTTCTCGCCTTTGCCTTACTATTGGCCCAACGCACAGTGAAACTTGGCGCTGGCTTTGCATGAGCAAGACCAGACATTAAAGCAATGTTCCCGTAACGCGCAAGACATAATGAACATAGGCACACATGTTCCTTAAGAGTCGTCCTCCGAATCTTCAGGCCCAGCGCGACCTCAATACTTTCTGCAGTCCCGTCGGCTCATTACAACCCCAACAAAGGCTCCAACGGCATGACATTCAAGTTTTTTCACGTGCGCATGCCATGGAAGTTCTTGTTCCTTCGGCTATCAACATACAGTTCTAGAGGACACCTCCCCATTCTTTCCAGGCATCCTTCTTTTTAAAAAACCACCCAAAACCCCGGGAAGCGGATCCGGTTTTTGAAAAGAACGATGGTTGAAAAGAATGGACTAGGAATCAACCCCTAGAACCGTAGCATTGTTCATGTGAATTGTGTATGCATCCATTTGCATAAGCCCCCTGGAAAAAATAGAATTGTCCGGCAGTGATCGATTCCTTTTAAAACCAACAGGGGAAAATATTGAACAAATAGTTTTAAACAAATGGCTGTGGGTCAAAACCAATGGTAAAAATTTTGGGGTAGGCGCACCACCCATTTTAGTCTATAGTGGGGATTGGGATGTTGACTGGGGGCACGATTTGGATTTTGATCCATTAAATGGAGCTATGCATCTCAGCGAGGGCCGCTCCCACAATGCGCACTCGACCCTGTTGAGATCCTTCCCACCCTTTCCCGGATCTCCACTCCCTTAGATCCCTGTTCCCCCAGATCTTCTCCCTTTCCTCCCTAAGATCTTTTCCACCCCTTCCCTGTTGAGATCATTTCTCCCCTTTCCCCTCTAAGGCCTTTGTCCCCAGATCTTCTCCCCCTCCTCCCTAAGATCTTTTTCCCCCCCCCCTTTCCCTGCTGAGATCCTTTTCCCCCTTTCCCCCCTAAGGCCTTTCCCCCCCCTGAGAGCTTCTCCCTTTTCCTTCCGAAGATCTTTTCCCCCCTTTCCCTGTTAGGCTTTCCCCCCTAAGTCCTTTTCTCCCAGATCGTCTCCCTTTCCTCCCTAAGATCTTCCCCCCCCTTTCCTCCTTAAGATCTTTCCCACCCTTTCCCTGTTGAGATCCTTTCCCCCCTTTCCCTCCCAAGGCCTTTCCCAAGGCCTTTCCCCCCCTGAGAGCTTCTCCCTTTTCCTTCCTAAGATCTTTTCCACCCTTTCCCTGTTGGGCTTTCCCCCCTAAGTCCTTTTCTCCCAGATCTTCTCCCTTTCCTCCCTAAGATCTTCCCCCCCCCCCCCTTTCCTTCCTAAGATTGTTTCCCCCCTTTCCCTGTTCAGATCCTTCCCACCCTTTCCCTCTGAGGCCTTTAGATCTTTCCCCCCTGTCCCTGTTGGCCTTTTTTCCCCCAGATCTTCTCCCTTTCCTCCCTTTCCCCCCAAGATCTTCTCCCTTTTCCTCCCTAGGATCTTCTCCCACCTTTCCCTGTTGAGCTCCTTTCCCCCTTTTCCCCCTAAGGCCTTTTCAGATCTTCTCCCTTTTCCTCCCTAAGATCCTTTGCCCCCTTTCCCTGTTGAGATCCTTTCCCCCTTTCCCCCCTAAGGCCTTTCCCCCTAAGGCCTTTTCCCTGCCTGGGACCTTCTCCCTTTCCTCACTGAGATCTTTCCCCCCCTTTCCCTGTTGAGATCCTTTCCCCCCTTTCCCCCCTACGGCCTTTCCCCCCGCTGAGATCTTCTTCCTATTCCTCCTTAAGATCCTTTGCCCCCTTTCCCTGTTGAGATCCTTTCCCCCCTTCCCTTTAAGGCCTTTCCAGATCTTCTCCCTTTTCCTTCCTAAGATTGTTTCCCCCCTTTCCCTGTTGAGATCCTTCCCACCCTTTCCCCCCTCAGGCCTTTCCCCCCCCTGAGAGCTTCTCCCTTTTCCTTCCTTAGATCTTTCCCCCCTTTCCCTGTTGGCCTTTTTTCCCCCAGATCTTCTCCCTTTCCTCCCTAAGATCTTTTCCACCCCTTTCCCTGTTGAGATCATTTCTCCCCTTTCCCCCCTAAGGCCTTTGTCCCCAGATCTTCTCCCTTTCCTCCCTAAGATCTTCCCCCCCCCCCCCTTTCCCTGCTGAGATCCTTTTCCCCCTTTCCCCCCTAAGGCCTTTCCCCCCCCTGAGAGCTTCTCCCTTTTCCTTCCTAAATCTTTTCCCCCCTTTCCCTGTTGGGCTTTCCCCCCTAAGTCCTTTTCTCCCAGATCTTCTCCCTTTCCTCCCTAAGATCTTCCCCCCCCCCCTTTCCTCCCTAAGATCTTTCCCACCCTTTCCCTGTTGAGATCCTTTCCCCCCTTTCCCTCCCAAGGCCTTTCCCCCCCTGAGAGCTTCTCCCTTTTCCTTCCTAAGATCTTTTCCCCCCTTTCCCTGTTGGCCTTTTTTCCCCAGATCTTCTCCCTTTCCTCCCTAAGATCTTTTCCACCCCTTTCCCTGTTGAGATCATTTCTCCCCTTTCCCCCCTAAGGCCTTTTTGCCCCAGATCTTCTGCCTTTCCTCCCTAAGATCTTTCCCCCCCCCAGTTCCCTGTTGAGATCATTTATTTCCCCCCTTTTCCTTCTAAGGCCTTTTCCCACCCTCAGTTCTTCTCCCTTTTCCTCCCAAAGATCTTTCCCCCCCTTTCCTCCCTAAGTCCTTTTCCCTGAGTTCGTCTCCCTTTGCCTCCCTAAGATCTTTTCCCCCCTTTCCCGCTTAAGATCCTTTCCCCCGTTTCCCCCCTAAGGCCTTTTCCCCCCAAGATCTCCACCCTTCTCTTCCCAAAGTCTTTTTCCCCCTTTCCCGTTTGAGATCCTGTCCCCCCATTGCCCCTTAGGGCCTGTTCCCCCCGAGAAAGATTTCCCTTTCAGCATGGGCAACATCCACAGCATCACTTGCATCATCCGCATCCTTGGCAGGCGCTGATGCGGATGATGCAGGTGATGCTGGCGATGTGCCGCTGGAGCTGCTAAGGATGCGAAAGCGCGCCCGGGGGGAATCCAACACCCCAATGTTTTGGACAAACTGAGTTGCGCAAGCCCGCACAATGAACAGATTTAGTGAAGCGTCTTCGAATCACCGCGTGGTACGTGGACCCCCCCCCCCCCGCAATAGTCTGAAATGGTGCCCCTGGGGAGGGGTTAGGGGAGGGGTAACAGGTAAAGAGGTAAGGAGCATTTTTTGTGTCCAACACGCCGTCTGTTGTCGGCGGATTTACTTTCAGATTGTGCTTGCCATCGCCGGAGAAGAAACCTTGCAGTGTTGACAGCTGGCACAACCCGGATCCCACCGAAGGACCAGGTTCCGTCTTGGGGCCCAAGAGACCCAAGTATTGTAGCAAATTCGATTCAACCAGATTTCAGCAAATGTTCAATCCTGCTCGCAGGGGAATCAGGGGTACATACCTTCCAAAGTGGCTCTATATATAGAAAAAGTTTGCCTATCGTATGGAAAAACGAGCTGACCATCACATTGACGTTGGTTCCTTACTTGGGCATAGTCGCTGTAAATCCCATGAGGCCCGGGTGGTAGTGGTTTTGGGCTCGTGATTCCAACTTGAATTGAACCCAAAGCAATCCAAACTCTCAGGCCTACCGCGAGGCCTTTGACAACTTCGATATCGCCAAAGTGGCTGCAACTCGTCGTTGGCCCTTTCCGGGCCGCGGGCCCGCATGGAACATTTTAAATTTGGTTTCTGAGGTTGCCACTCTCTGTGACACCAAGTTGGAATCCCGTGTGTCCTAAAGTGGGCACACCATGCCAACTTTGGAAGCATGTGGTATGACAGAAAGGAGGACATGGCTGGGGGAGCCCCTGCTGATTGAACAAACAAAGGGCACCGGCGTAGGTTTATTTCGAGACGCCTTAATTGCAGGTGTCCGTCCACAAGCAAGCAATACTTGTCCACACCAAATACATGCCGTTCAATACCTCTTTGCTTAGCTGTTGAAGGTATTACGGTATTCCACTGCCCTTCTCTTTTGGGTTTTCTTCCTTTGCGTTTGGGTTTTTCATTTCACAGGGCCCCTTGTCTTGGCTAACATCATCTGCGCGAATTTGAGATTGGCCGGGATGATGTTTGGGGAAATACGAGTGTCTTTTTTGAGGGGAGCCCCCTTGGTTGGTTGCAAAGGAAACCACCATTTTGGGGATCCCCCTTATAGGGATCCCTGTGTTCAACCATATGGTCAATGTTTGAAGAAGCGTTGCTGTTTCAAGTACGTAGTTTGCTGGCTGGCTGGCTGGCTAGCTGCCGGCCTGCTTGCCTGCCTGCCTGCCTGCCTGCCTGCCTGCCTGCCTTCCTGCCTTCCTGCCTTCCTGCCTTCCTGCCTTCCTGCCTTCCTGCCTTCCTGCCTTCCTGCCTTCCTGCCTTCCTGCCTTCCTGCCTTCCTGCCTTCCTTCCTTCCTTCCTTCCTTCCTGCCCTGCCCTGCCCTGCCCTGCCCTGCCCTGCCCTGCTTGCCTTGCTTGCTTTGATGGTTTGTTTGTTTTGTTTGTGCGTTTGCTGGTTCGTCCGTCTGATTGTTCAGGATTTGTGTGTGTGTGTATGTCTGTGTGTGTGTGTGTCTGTGTGTGTGTGTGTCTGTGTGTGCCTGTGTCTGTGTGTGTGTGTGTCTGTGTCTGTGTGTCTCTGTGTCTCTGTGTCTCTGTGTTTGTGTGTTTGTGTGTCTGTGTGTCTGCGTGTCTGTGTGTCTGTGTTCTGTGTGTCTGTGTGTCTGTGTGTCTCTGTGTCTCGGTGTCTCTGTGTCTGTGTGTCTTTGTGTCTGTGTGTCTGTGTCTGAGTGTGAGTGTGAGTGTGTGTGTATGTATGTGTATGTATGTATGTGTGTTTGTGTGTGTGCGGGTGAGTGCAGGTCGTGGGTGTGGCTGCCTGCGTGCATGCTTGAGCTACTGGCGCAACTCTGGCGGTAAAGCTCGCGCAGTCGGTTCCAAGTTGCATAAGTTGAGCAGCGCCCGGTTCTACTGCCATAATTTCGTAGTTGGTTCTACTGCCTGGTTTGATGGGGAGGTTATAGTAGAGCCTGTAGAAGCCTAGCTATGTTGGTCACTGGATTTTTTTCCGCTGCCCATCTGGGCAAATTGTAGCAAAGTCATATTTTGGCAGGGGAAACCAAAGGCTATTTTGATCCCCCCTACATTGACACGCGCCCAAAGTGAGGCCTACTCACCCAAGAAGGTGAACGCTTTGCTGAAAAGCCCTGGCGAGGGCAGCGCGGTCATTGTGAAGAACCGGGCGAAGATCGCGGCTCGTCTCCTTTGGGAGGGATGGCTAATGAGACGGGGCAAATAGACTGGTCACCCTTGAAGCAGTGCTGCCCCGGACTTTGCACCCTGGTGCATCTTTTTGCGGGGGTGTTCCCTGCCAAAAGTGATCCGGATTACCTCTAAATTGGATGCGAGCAAATAATTGAAGGTGTCCCATGCTTGCAGGGAATCTGGGTCTCACTGGAGGGAACACGCTCCCTAGTCCACGAGGGTGATTGGAGCCCTTGCGTTTCCATTGGCTAGACTTGAAACTGTGCGATCTGGTTGGTGGGGAGTCCTAGAAAACTAGAAAGTCATGTTCCTCTTAGTGAAGCTTTGGTGGCTGCGAGAGAGTTGGTCACCATTTTTTGTTGGTCACCCTTGAAGCAGTGCTGCCCCGGACTTTGCACCCTGGTGCATCTTTTTGCGGGGGTGTTCCCTGCCAAAAGTGATCCGGATTACCTCTAAATTGGATGCGAGCAATCCAAATCAGCTATGGGGGGTTATTGATCAACAAGGGACTCCAGATTGGCCTCCTGTTTAGGGTTTCCTTTGAAACCATCCAAAAAGAGAACCCAAATTGAAATGCTTAGAAACTCACAAGTGGGTTGCCCTTCTCAGCTTGGTGAATACTCATCGCTGGTCTTTGGTATGACCGAATCGAATCGCTCCTTAGGCCTTTGGTTCTCGACCTTTTGCTCATTCGGCTTGGAGCAACCCAGGTGGGTAGTCGTCAGCTTGGTGAATGCTGGGTTCCGGTGTTACTTTCCAGCTGCAAGGTGCAGACCAGAGCACCAGGAGGCAGTCCCTTTTGATTGCGGATTTGGATTTGCCCTTTTGATTGCAAAGTTTTGCTTCCCTGTGTGACCTGTGTGGTTTGGTTTTACCTGGTTTTGAGGACTCCAGGCTTACAGGTGTCGGAGATGGCTCAGGCTAGCACGCTGCACAATGCCAAGCTTTGTCAAGCTGCGGCAGAGGAGCATGGCTCCTTCTGTAAGTTCCTATGGCCGCTCGCCAGCGAATCAATTTTGGTCTGGGGTGTTGAGGGAATCCTTTTCAGGTTGCTTTCATTTGCGTTTCAGAATATGGTGATTTTCCCGGCTGGTTTAAGAATGGAATTTATCACTACTGGAAATACGTGGTTTTTGGTCAGGAGGACTTAAACAAATAGAGGTTGGTTTAGAGGGAAACCAAAAGGAACGTCACCATTTTTGGGGGCTCCCGGCACCCTCCTATTTGTGAATCACGGGCATGTATGAGCCCACATGAACAAAATGTTGCATGCATTTGTGTGTGTGTGAACACAGTACACACACACATATATATATATATATATATCGAGAATGCTGACATACCCGATCCTATGTAACATAAACTAATTGGTATTCATACATGTGTACTAATATATATATATATATATGTGTTGTGTATATATATATACACATACATACAGAGAATGTATAGCAAAGCTAGCTAAAGCTGAATCAACCCCCAATCATCCCCATGTATCCCTCAAGTACTCATCACTGGGTATGAAGCCCTAGTTGGAGTTACTCAACTTTACGGCCGAGTTGTAAAATCTTCGTCACCTTTGGCTCTAAAATGCCTCGGCGCTTCCCAAGGCCTCTGAACCTGAAGAATTCCCCTCAGTTTCGTGTAAAACAAACCCGTTGTTTTCAGGGATTCCGAATCCTCTTATCTCTTTCGTTGAACTTGTGACATTTCATTCAATGTGGAGTCAAACATAGGATTTCCGGCGGAAAACAGCCCATAGTTTGTTTATGAGGCACCCCCCTTAGCCCCCATGAGTTCGCAGCCGCCTTCGTCCGACGGTCGGTTTCTTCGATGCCTTCAGGTCCTTTGTGGGTGGCCGGCCCAAAGTGAACCGATGGAAGAACGCAAAGTCCATTCCAGCCACCCGACGCAGCTGATGGGATACGCCTGTTTGAGCGGACCAAGGCCGCCTGTTTACAACTTTCTGGACTCTCAGTTTGTCCCCGGAAAAATCGAACGTAGCCCAACATCATGGCAATTTCCCTTGTAGAAGTTCACATTTCCCCACCTTAGCTTTTCTGAACAGTCAGTTTCGTGAATTGTTTTTGTTCTATATGTTGGTTCCGCAACCATTATATAAGCGGGCAAAGAACAAATTTGAACTTGCTCAGATTGACTCCGAGGAAGCCCAACTTTCAGATGGGAGTTGACTGACTTGGCGGAGATGGTTTGCTGTTGGTGTCCACTTCACAGAAGAGCTGAAAAGGGGCTCCACCGACCTCCGACTTTTAGTTGAAACGTGGAGGGGACAACTTGAAGGGCGATTCTCACAACCCTTGCGCAAGGGTCTTTCGCCTTTTAGCTCTTTTGCCAAATGACCCCTCATTTCCATGACCCGCTCAATGGATTCTAACAAATGGGTATGCTGCACACATAGGTCCTTTGTTGCAAGCCTTCTAGAACCCATATATTAGACCCTGCCTAGTCCGGGCTGAGACAGATTTGGCCTCGGTGATTGCCCTCTCCACTGGTTGTTTTATCTGAAGCTGACATGTCGAAATGTCGGCTGATATTCCCCACAATTCAAAGACCGTTGGCCTACCCCTAAACTCATATGGAACCTGGGTGAAGATCAAAGAACATGTTCCTCTTAAAGGTCCTTTGCCTTACGCTCCATCGCTTTTCACTTCAGCCCCTCCCCAATCCCAACAAGGCCGCAGGCCGCACAACGACGCATTGTTACCATACTTGACAACTACTTTATTACAACCCAACCATGGTGCGGGCCACAAATGCAGGATCCGCAATCTGCTAAATCATGATCAAGTAGATGTAAACATCAGACCTTTTGGTTGCCGATATTCTTGACACCGACAGCTATCAGCTCAATCTGCCAAGCCTGGGTTTGGGACGCCTTTGGGACAGGGTCAGGGAGTTTTCGAGGCTGTGGATACTGTTTGGGCTTGTTTTGTGCCCCACACAGACTGTCGTTCTTTCTTTCCCAGTTTGCTTTTTTGCCCGGCAGAGCCAAATTGTTTCGGCTCACAGCAAAGCGGCTTCGATTCAATTGGGCACTGCAAGCAGGGCTTCTACTCATAGCATGATAGTTGCTGTCGCTGTTGGAAGACGTCTGGACTATTTGGTCCAAACAAGAACCGCAGAATGAGCAAATCACCGGAGAAACCATGGCCCACCCTCCCAGCTAGACCATTAATCCAGGGAGAGCCCCGTTGACGAAAGGCGGTGGAAAATGCAGCACCTTGCAAGAGAAAAAACGTCTTCCAAAAGGGGTCATGTTGTTTGGGGCGATGTGTTTAGTGGGGACAAGTTGAATTCCCGTCTTCATGTCCAGGTTCTCAAAGTCGGAATCCAGATGCGTGGGAGGGTAGGTCAAATCCAAAGAAAAGGAAAGCCCCTGCGGCTTTGGGTCAGTTGGGGGAACTTACCCTTTTCCCGAGAATCATGGAATCTGACAGGAGGAACTCGGAAGACTACACTCTTGAAAAGGCCTTAAGGTCTCCAGTTCCGCGATCAGAAAGAGGGCACCCCTGGACACCTGCGTCTCTTTTTACACCTGCGTTCTTGTTTATGAAGGTTGGTTGAAAAAGGGAAGCCAAAGATAAACCAGCCTTATTGCGGGCTTTCGGAGAAACCTTCCTATCTCGGAGAAGCAAACAATTCGAAATGCCGGCCGGGCCGCGGGACCCGCCGGCCGGGCTCGCGTCGCGTGGTGTGCCTCAGGTGGTGACGCCGGAGGCGCAGCTCATGAGCCGCGAGCTGAAGAAGCGCGGCTTCGGCTTCGTTGGGCCCACCATCTGCGCCTCGACAGACTCGCCGCGATTTCGGTTTGAGCGGGTCGCCGGGTGTCCGAAACCAAAACCCACATGAGACCAGTGGGCAATGTCATGGTGTTAAAACCAAAGGAGAACTGAAAGAATGAAATAAACGGGTGTCTTAAGTGTGTTTGGTTTTAAGAAAAATAGAACGAAGGACGGTTGAAACAAATGAAAGACACAACACCCGAGGATGTTGGTTTTGTTGTTTGTTCTTTAGTATCTGGTGTAAGCAAAATAAAATAAGCCCAACACAATGTTGTTGTTCTTTTTTAAAGAAATACACAACTAAAGCAAAACCCAATCCAAGAATCACGGAAACTGCCACCCGCACCCCCGAACTGCTTTTCGGACAACAAAACGGGATTCTGAACATGGGAAGCTGGGTGACGATCCGAGATGGAAAACGACTGCCCTTGGGAAGCCTCCGGAACCCACTTCCAAGAGGGTAGAGGGCCCGGGATGTGTCCCAAGTCGCGAAGGTCGCCCTCAACAAATTGAGGCGCCCAACATCGGCTTTCGCGATGCTTTTGGAGGCGCAGATGGTTTGCTTTGCTTCCAACTGCATTTGTTTGCATGGAAGCCCAAGAGCCATTTCTGGAGGAAACTCCTTGAGGGCTCACCTGGGTGCCTTGAGGGCTGATCATGAGGCCCCCATCTGAAGCCTTCGATCAGGACTGCTAAGGTTCATTCAGAGCCCTTCTTGGGTTGGGGAGGGGGGTTGTAGGTCCTCCCGCTGTTAAAATTGTGCGTGTGTCTTTGCTGGGACCGTCTGGTAGACATCCTTTAGTGCGGATTTCGGGGTCTACCAACCATTTGGGAGGGTGTTCCCCGTAAAATCATAGCCGTTCTACTAACATGGCCATTCGTCCCAGGCTGTTTGAACAGAGACATTCGTGCCCCTCAAACATGTTTGAACCCCTTCGATCAGAACTCCTTTGACTTTCGATCACGCGGCGCCATTCACTTTTCCGGTTTCCAGAAATGTCCCAGGCACCCAATGCCCTCGTTTCCAATGAAGGGGGAACTTCGGTTTTTCCCGACAGCAAATAGCAGAAATAGGCTTGGCTCACAAGGGGTTTTCCCTCTCGTTTTCCTTTACAACACACCCACAAAAAGGCACTCTTAAGAAAAAGAGAAGCAGGGAAACCCCCAAATCTGTTCCTTCCTGTTGGCTTCCCTCGAAATACAGAAAATGGTACCGCTTTCCGAGGCTACGCGCTGATGCAGTCTGTTGGCATGGCACAGGCCTCAGAGCAGGAACTTGCCGGCTCGTAGCTGTTCCTGTTCAGACAGGGCAAACACACCACACCCCGCCCAAACCTGGGATCTCCAAAGCTACTTTGCACCTAATATGGTAGTGTTCAACAGTTCACTCCCAGAGTTGCTGGACTTGATACTTTTTGGGACGACCGTAAACAACAAGTTAGACTTTTTCTGGCCCATCCACTCAAGAAGTGAGACATACTCTGGAAACAGTTTTGGAGTGCAGATGCGGGCCATGAAACACATCACTTGTTTTTTTTTTCAAAAACGAAAGACGCAAACTGAAGCGGTGTGTGCTTGGAGAGGATGCCCTGTGGCCGAACCCTTTGGGCAGGTTGCTTTGGGTTCCTTTCGACTAGGTTGGGGTACTTCGAAGGCCAACTTGGTGCATCATTTGAGGGGATCCCCTCAAAATGGTGGTTTTCCTTTTGCTGTCCCGTTAAATTCAGCCCAAAAAAGATACACAAAGAAAACAGACCCCAACGGGTTTGGAGTTGTGAATTTGAAGCGGTGTCCAGCTCTATTTCCCCAGGTGTTGAACAGCACAGCCGATTTAAGGCGAGTTTCATTTGGTTGTGATGTTAGGTTGAATATGGGCCAAAGCAAGCCCCCCAAACCAGTGGCTTCCCTTTTCTTTGGTCACCGGTCACCACTCAAAAGCAAGCAACAGAAAGGGTTTCCTCCAAAAAGGCACCAAGATTTCTGGACATTCATCGGTTCTCGCTCGCGCCCCCCGCTCCAAAACAAAGACCAGGTGTTGTTTCATCCTTAACATAGGGGGAATCCTGTGTCAAAGAGTAAATCCTGCAAGTGTTGACACCTACGTGTTTGGTTTACGACAGGGTAGCGTTACGCGAAGAATCGGTTCATTCCCACATCGGTACTACCAAGAGCGCTCCCCATTCAATTGAAGAATTGGGCATGTGTGTGTGCGTGTGTGTGTGTTCGAGGGTACCCTTTTCAGGTTGGCTGGAAGGAAATCAATAGGACAAAAGCACAATTTTGTGGGTGTCGCTGTTTGAGACATACCTAGATCGCGTTCATTGCACCCGGCCTTCCCAGGTGAACGACCACCCTGTGACTACGCCGCAGTGGCGGCGTGTCAACGACCTTGTCAAGCGGCGCTTCGGGAAACGTTGAAAAGATGCCGCACCATGCTCTGCAACGCCGCTTGCATTTGTTCGCGGGCTCTTGGAGGCGACTCGCAATCAAGCTGATGATAGACTCCTCATTGAGTGATGAAAATAGTTGAGTGGTCATCCCTCCTGAACCCTGGCTCCCGCCGTTTGAAATGGAGATTGAGACACTGGTGGCAATACGGAGGCAAGTGTCCCATGGTTCACTACTAATGCAGAGCCATTGCAAGGGGAGCCATGGAAGTTCATGCCCGTTACTGTCACTCGCTAGTCCCTGCTAGTCACTATTGGGCTGCAATGGCTCCCCTTGCGATGGCTCTGAATCAATGAAATGGTGCAATCTGGGGTTTCCAACACGTCTAATTTGGAACCTGAATAGACGTTGCCCACTGCGTTGCCAGAGATGCGAGAACGCACTGTCTTGGTGCATGTCGTTTCGGGAATGGACCATCCTTGCGGAACGTGCATCTGACGTGTGCTCTGGGGCCCTTGTGGAACCCTGACGTTTGGTGCCTCACAGGCCCAGACTTTGGTTTAAAGTGAAAACCAAGAAGGAAATCCGCCGCTCACGTGCACAGTTCGGTTGCTGGTGCATATTGGACAGGTTGCCAACATGACCGCACCAACCGGAGTTTGCGACCTCACCCATGATGAGCTTTGTTTCTTGGTTTATGATCTTTGTATATTAGGGTCTGTCTCTTTTTGTGGGTTGGTTCACGGGGAAACCAAAGGGACAAGTACAATCTTTGGGGTCCCCTATTTTTAAGACACGCCCACATTGCACAGGCACCTAGGGGCACGTGGTTTTTCACTTGGCCATTTGTGGAAAGCCTGTTGGTCGGCTTTCAAATGGGAAACTGAACGGAAATCAAGCTGCGCCACCGTGTTTGATTTTATGGGTTTTGAGCTCACCGATTCAGGGGCAAAGCAAGCTCAAGCCCATGATCCATGATGTAGATCGTTTGCTCGGGATCCAATCCTTAGTTCCGGTTTTGGACTTAAGGTAGAATTTGCAAATAGATGCCGATGGAAATCAAATCCCTTGATCCCCCTCCTCTTGACGGTAGTAATCAATCTGTATAGATGTTCTTTTGCGTTGTGTCCAGTTTAGCGACTTCACCCTTTCAACCAGTAAGGGTTACAGATCTGCGGGCCAAATGTGCAGCCCTTAAGAGTTACAGTTGTTTTGTCTTCTGTTTGGGTGGGTTCACAGTTCACGGCCCTTTCCAAAAACCGGTCCCGACGAGTACCTCCGCTTTTCTGGCTCTCAGCTCATCCCTGTCGCCATTTCAGTCGCGGCGAGTCGAAATGGCCAGGCGCGGGGCGAAAGTCGACTCGCTGGAATGCTTCTTTGGACCTGCGGGGTAAAAGTTGCCCTGAGCCCAGTTGCTGTAGGTTAGCCAGTGTCCTTTTAGTTTTTACAGGGGTGTTCCCGTTAGCTACTATACAGGAAAATGGATTCAGTGGTTGCAACTCCAGAAATTATGCTGCGAAGGATGGTTTCTAGCCAAGTGATACTTCAAAAGCGTGTCCTTCCTGCTTGTGTTATCCGATTGAGTAGCAGTTGTTTGGCTCTTGTGAGCGTGGCGCTCTCAAGTCGTCAAACGACGGATTCGTAGAAGTTGATGACGCTGCTCTGCTAGACATCCCGATTTTGCATGGTGGAGTTGTCCCCGGAGTTTGATGACCGGAACCGAAAGAGATGGCCCATATCAAATATCAAACATTCATGCCTTCGCCCCATGTGATTGCGTGCTTTACTTGGTCTGGTTGGGTTTGGGTGGGCTGGTTAGTTTGGTTTGCTTGCTGAATTGTTGTCCTTGTTGGTTTGCTTGGTTGTTTGGTTGGTTTCTCACTGGCCCTGTCAGTTTTGAAGAGAGATGTTCCTGGCTAGTCATTAGGCATGGCATTCGGACCCCTACCCCCAGCAAGGCTCTCAGAACCCATTTTACAAGGTGTTTGGAAGTGTTTCTGCCGGATGCACCCACTTCCCCAGGCCTCCAGCTCTGCCTTGTGTTGATTTCTTTGGGGTGGGGGTAGGGTCCCTTCAAAGATCAACGGCCAAACGAGGGGTGCCCTTTGTGGCCACGGACAGTCCCGGATTCTAGCCGTGCCCATTCTCAAGGATCTTTCCAGAACATGCCTCAAGACCTGATGGAAACGATGGAAATGGGTGGTTTCTGCAAAGAACCATGGATGCACAAAATGGAATATCACCCCTTAGACTGTCAGTAGCGTACGCCAAGGGGCCTGTGTTTTTTGAAACCTTGATAAACCCCCAAAATGTGGAACATATCGAGTTGGTCATGAAACAACACACACCACACTGAGCAAATGCAACAACACTCGAGTTTTCTAAAACAAGAAACCAAAATGCCAGCCCCCATGGCTCCAAATTTTGAGCTGTGTGTATGGGGGTTGTCTTTTTTTTTCTTCACAACTCAAGTTGTTTTTGGCATTTTTGGAACATGTACACCACCTGGAGTTGTCCAAAAAGGCAACAAAAATGAGCGGTTCCACATGTGTTTTTTGACAGCTCTGTTTTGCATTTGCAAGTGAAAACATGTACAAACCTTGAGTTGTCCACAAGAACAGACTTTCATGCAGATCATATGGAAGCTTTACCTTAAGTCCCGAATATGAATATGCGCGTCTTTCCAAATAAGATGTTATAAGATGTTGATTCAAACGTGATTAGCGTTTCAATCTACTTGAATAAGGACCAATGCATGAATTTTCATTTTTATTCTGAATTCATAGAGCAGAACTTAAGACTTTGCCGGCCAGGGCTAGCCCCTTTTGCTAGTGAAATGGGAAGTAGAGGAGGACAAAGCTTCTATGAAGAGCGCTTGCCGCGGCCTTGGACAAGTTTCTTCCGGAGACCGCCCGACCGTTTTTGAGGGAATGTTGCGCCCCTGGCGCAGGAGCCCTAAGATTCCGCCGCTTGTCCAACTGCAATTTCGGGGTCCAGAAAACGACGCTTCTTCCTGACACTGCCACCAAACTGTTCTTTCATCGCATAAGCCACTGGCATGAAATGTCCCTCTTGCTTGTGTGATGCTTCTGGAAGGCTTATTGGTTTTGCTGGCCTCTGCTTGCCTTGGCACCTTTGACTTGTCCCGAAACAAAAAGCCTAGCGCGTTTACAAGCCGGAATGCAAAACCAAAGTCAGAAACGTGAATTTGAGCCCTTCGTCTTTGGCTGGGGCAAAAGAGGCCCAGGGCCGAGAAGCAAGTGCTTCTTCCAGCGCGATAAAAATGCATCTGGGGTCTTCGACTCAGCCCGAAAGTTTCGTCGCCAAGGCCTGAAAAAAACACTCGGGGATTTGGACATGATTTTGCTTTGCAAGCCCATACGGTTGACACTGACACCGCCAAGTCTCGAATGCGCTTATTCGACCACAATAAATGAATAATTGACTTTAGCAGCAACGACTCGATTCGATACTTCCGGCCATCCATCTACTTTAAGATGGGCGTTCTAAATGGAATATGTCCTGCTGTATTGCAAGTCGTTTAGGTTGTAATTGGGTTCTTAATTAAACATATTTGGACGAAAGCTCCCATTCTAAGTTCTAGTGCGGTTCGATCATTGGTTTCAAAAACTCCGCTGTTTTGCCCTAAAACCCATATTTCCAACAGAAGGCAGCTCACATGGAGCCTACATATGGGCATCCTGGGATTAAAGCTGTACTTGTAACAGGGTCTTCCAACTTATTCCATACAATATATCTTTCCCAAAACGTCCAAATCAAACACCACAGATACGTTTGAGGCCTGTAGAGGCATGTGTGGGTAGAACAGTGGTAGGGGGCATGTTCTTCTTTGTCAGGGACCAAATTTCCAGCCTCGTATAATCTGGTCGAATGAGAGCAACCCTGGACTCATGCCTTCCAAATCTGAATTGGCGTTCCTTCGTCGAAAACAGCATCCCCTTAATAACAACGTCCTCACGCGGATGGGAATCCCATGTGGGTGACTCTTGCAGATTCCTTCTGAACCACAGGTTCTTACGCGGTCGCTCGCTCCGTCATTTGGCAGGCAGATCCAAGTGCTTGGCATCTCTGGAGAAGCTCTGCTGGAGGTGGCGCTGCCGATCCACGCACGTGAGCCCCTTGCCGTTGTTTTTTTTTGCTTTTGTCAGGGCTCCTTAAAAGATACATTTTGCCCATTTCAATCATGGCTTTTCCAAAATAAAGGGAAACCACCATTTACAAGGCAATGTTCAGGTGTATAGTGTAAGGATCCCTGTTTGTTTTCAGAGAAGCGATAGAAACTGTCTGCAGGCCAATAGTAGGGACGCAGTCCCTATAGAAGACCAGCAGTTCAATGACTGGAACGTGCGATTTCACAGAAACAAGAAGGGATACCTCAGGGGCCCTGCTAGCTTTCCTAGGAGGAGGGTTCTCTTTTACACGCCCTTTTCTGTGTCTGTCTCTGTGTGTCTGTCTCTGTGTCTCTGTGTCTCTGTGTCTCTGTGTCTCTGTGTCTCTGTGTCTCTGTGTCTCTGTGTCTCTGTGTCTCTGTGTCTCTGTGTCTCTGTGTCTCTGTGTCTCTGTGTCTCTGTGTCTCTGTGTCTCTGTGTCTCTGTGTCTCTGTGTCTCTGTGTCTCTGTGTCTCTGTGTCTCTGTGTCTCTGTGTCTCTGTGTCTCTGTGTCTCTGTGTCTCTGTGTCTCTCTGTGTCTCTGTGTCTGTATCTCTGTGTCTCTGTGTCTCTGTGTCTCTGTGTCTCTGTGTCTCTGTGTCTCTGTGTCTCTGTGTCTCTGTGTCTCTGTGTCTCTGTGTCTCTGTGTGTCTGTGTGTCTGTGTGTCTGTGTGTCTGTGTGTCTGTGTGTCTGTGTGTCTGTGTGTGTGTGGGTGTGTGGGTGTGTTTGTGTGTTTGTGTGTTTGTGTGTTTGTGTGTTTGTGTGTTTGTGTGTTTCGTTGTTTGTTTGGTTGTTTGTGTTTTGTGTTTCCGTGTGAATGTGTTTGGTTTGGCTTTGGCACCGGCATGTATATAATTTATATAATCATATACGTATCTAGCTAGTTCCCCATCAGGTTCTCCAATGCGGAACCCACAACCCCATTCTAATGATTTAGGCCATTATCAAAGGAAGCTTAGCAAGAGCCTCCGAACCAATTGAGCGCGCATTTCTTGAGAATATCGCTTTCTCAGCGCGTGAGAACGTGGCATGGTACTCGGATCTTCCGAATGCGCGCAACCACGTCGGTGACGACGTCTGACGGAATCGGTCCCGGCGCGTTCGGAACGAGTTCCGACGCAGCACCATTGGCGCGGCCGCGCCCTTTGCTTCGCAGCCATCACATGGTGAACCCTCTGCGGACTTTCGGGGGGTCGACCGGCAACAACTTGGTGTTTGCGTTGTTCACCTTCGTGGGGTGGAGAGAGAGAGAGAGAGAGAGAGAGAGAGAGAGAGAGAGAGAGAGGGAGAGAGAGAGAGAGAGAGAAAGAAAGAAAGAGAGAGAGTGCGAGAGAGACAGGAGAATGCGACAGAGGAAGAGGAAGAGGCAGAGGAAAGAGAAAAGAGAGAATGAGGGAAGGAGAAAAAGACCTCCAAACCACCACCAGAGCACCACATTCAAGGCAAGCTGACAAAAGGTTCGACCCTTGAGATTTCTCTGCGCTTCGTGTGAAGCGACATCCGAAAGGCTCCCCTTGCCTCAGGATTCTCAAGCAGCTGAATGGCAGCTGCTTCGACCGCCTCTTGCGCGGGCCTGTTACGGTAGAAGGCGAGATCAACGAAGGCTGGGAAGAGGGACATTGACACCCAAATGGTAGATGCCGGAAACTGCAAGCGCCCAGGAAGCCCTTTTGATGGTAAGCAGAAAGTTTGGTTTTTTCATGGGGTCAAAGCACATGCTCATTTGTAGTTCACGACCTTAAGAACAAACCCAGGGGGTACCCCCAACAGCCCCGAAGCCCCTGTTGGGGAAAAAGAGGGGAAGCCCCAATTTTCTCAGGAGGACATTGTCCGAGGCTCGTGTTCTCCGCAAGGCCGCTTTTTTGGAATGTGAGCTGGAAGATCGAGGTGTGGCATGGGTCCGTCAACTGGAAAATTGGGGACCCGAAAAAGACATCGAAGGACAGCATGTAGGGGATTCATGTCCTGCCACCTGAGGTGGTTTCCGGTCCCTAGGAAAAGAGACATTCCTCGTGGCACAGTTGCCAAGGGCTGAGCCGTACTGTAGGGTCTAGTCGAAACAACTACACTTTAAACCAATATTGTGACGAAGGGCGAGTTCACATCCAAGTCTTCCAGCTCGGCAGGCTTGGACTAGAAAAATGGAATTGCGGACCACCCACCTTCCTGAAGGTATGGGGGGACCCTCGTAATGGACATGCACAACCCGTTTAGTTGAATGGATTTACGAATCACACTCCCAAAAACTGTCTGGTTGCCATTATTGTTCTAGGATTCCAGGGTCACTGAACCGGCTCATACACTCCAGTTGTCTTCGAAACGATTTCAGTTGTTGTTGGCTAACTATGAAACATTGTTTGTAATTAATGTTGGAGTAGCCCAGAGTGGAGGGTCATGACTCCCAACCATGATGTCCTCACCCGACAGAAAAACCGCCTGGAGCCTTCTTACATTCGACGAGGCGAGGCGCTGACCTATGTGAAGGTGGACATGGGGGTGCTGTCGGGTCTGGCAGAGGAGATGGTGGACGTGCTGATGGACTTTGGGGCCATCCAGGACCTTGAAATCCTTGAAGCGCTTCGAGCGAGCAGAGGTCATTGGCAAACCGGCAACCCAACGAAAAAAAGGATCCCCTGAAAAGTGGGGAGGGGGTGAAGAGGAAGGCATTGGTGGTTTTTTCAGGGATACTCAGGCAAATTCATAGGAGCTTTCAGGTCCCAATGGTGCCCCCTACATCCCTTTGGTCTCATGGTCAAACGCCAAAAGGGTTCGCCAAAAAGGGTGCTTTGGAACTCCCCCTCTTTGTCGCGGAAGGGGTTCCCTGTAAAACCAGCGAACACAAAAGGCCCCGTGTTTTTTCCATTCCGAGGTCCTCAAAAAAGAATCCGTGAACAGTTGGCAAAGGTCATTCGGGGCCAGGGCGATTTCTCCACCGCCATGTCGGGTTTGGTGAGTTCAAACTGCGTGTCGCAGGACTCCCCTCCTGGCTTCAACAAGCAGCGCTGCCTTTCCGTGGCCAAATCCGACGGCACCCACTTCTGCGGAGGGGGCGGCTCGGCGTTGTGCTCGGCTCGGGTACCGCTTGTGGCCACAGTTGGGTGTCTGCTTTTAGGGAAACCCCTTAAAAGGGGTGGTTTTGAACAGACACCAAAAGGAAACCAACGATTTTGGGGGTCAGCCGCGTGTTTACCACTGATCTCGACACGTGTATGGCGGTTTCCAGCTTTCGACCGTTAAAGTGTTTGGAAGTGACGAAAGAGCCAACCACAAGCCTGCAAATTGTGAATCGCTTATTGAGGGTCATCTGAACCAAGCCAGTTTCAGCTCGACCGATAGGGCATAAGATGGAGCTTGAACAGGCCAGGGGGTTCCTTAAGGTTTGAAGGTTTGGACCTTTTGCCGCAAAGCTCAAACCCAATCTGTACTCCTCACCTTTCCTTTTGGTCAACCGGGTTCCATGTATCAGCCCACTAGCGTCATTGGCTTTAGGTTTCCATCTCGCCCTATCGCCAAAGGGACAGGATCCAGGATCCGGTGCCGGCGGCCCCGGCGTAAGCTAAAGGTTCAAGTTGCTAGGGATGTTTACTTGTTTCATGACCCCATTGGGTGTGTGTGTGTGTCTTTCTTTAGGGTGCCCCTTTTTTGGTTGGTTTCCAAGGGAAACCCAAAACAATCAAGCCCTTGGATGGTAATGCTTGGTTGCTCTTTGGCGAACCCTGAACCTTTGGCAATCACTGCTTCCCCACCAATGAAACAAATGTAGCTGCGGTTAGCGACCAACCATGTTTACGTATTGATGTGTTCACAGCTGTAGGCTCACCTTTTGAGCTTTTAGTTTTCCAGTCTTGGTCCGGGACATGATCTTTCGGTTGACTTCCTCTTCCAACCCCAAGGGTGCACTCCGATTTGTTTTATTTTATTTTTTTAAGTCGTCCAGATTTGTCCATGGTTTTGGCGCCGGCCAGTTGCGGTTTCTTTGATTCGCACACGGAACTGCTTGGACCTGGGTGGTTTGTGGTTGGTGAATTCCATGGGTGTCGTTTCCCGGAACATCCAAGCCAAACGAAGCTAGCGGTTGATGGGCCAGCCATATACCGTAGCCACTGTAAGGGTATATGCCAGTTTGCCCTACTTGCCACTCAGAATGGTTGGGGGTGGACCATCTTAGATATAAGGAGGTTTCCTGAAGATGTTCTTCCAAAACTCGGTATGCCACACTGTTAGAACGAAGGTACTGGGATATTGTATCCCAAAAGTTATGGGGACAATTTCCTCTATTTCAGGGTAGCCTTGTTCGTTCCAGGTTGATTTCGCGTTTGGGGCGCAATGTCGATCTGGGCAATTTTTGGAAAACACACAAGAACCGCCCCAGGAAATCCCCTTTCTCCAACAATCACGGAAGTGGACGTTTGGGGCTTCAAGAGAATAGTCTTCGAACAGAGCTCCCGGTCCACTTCCCTTTGCACTTTGCACTTCGCTTGGCGTTCTGCCTTCGTCCAATTTGCCTGGAGTGGGACATCGGCGTGTCGCGAGGCTTTGGCGGTGAGGAGCAGATCCACCACGTGATGCTGCTGCCGGATGGCCGGATTTTGGCCAAGCGCCTGGGAAGTCAAAAGCCGAAGCCTCATGGGCCCAGGGGACACTCACGCCCTGGGGACACTCACGGCCTGGGGACTGTGTGCTTTTGGGCTTGGACCATTTTTGGGGCTTGGACGATTCTAGGACAACGAACAAACAGTTTGGACTCTTTGATCGCTCAAGAAGCCAACAGGAACCCTTGGAGTTGCAAGAAGCTTATCACTTTCTATGCCTAGCGGGTATGATGTGTCCAAACAAGACTTTAGAAGAAGGGAAATCGATGACATGGCAAAGATGGATTGCTCAGCAAAGATAATGACTGCTAAATTCCAGAAGGTGATGGCATGATCCCAAATGCAGGAGTTGTTGTATATATATATATGCAATGGAAACTTCTGGATGTCCAAACACAAGCCAAACGTTCACATATGGGATCAACGAAACATGTATTAGAGTCCAGATCACCCAACATTAATCAATTGTACCAGGCAAAATCATTAATAAAATATGACAGCTATAATCAATGAAGAGAAGTACACAAAGGGATACTGTATCCTGCACTATCAGAAAATAAGGCCTCCGATTTGGAGTTGCTCTTGAGAGACGTAAGGCATGACCTGCAACTGAATCTGATAAAGTCAGGAGTGAGGCGGATGATGGTGGACCATCCCGCACCGCTTCCAAATTCTGAGATCAAAGAACGGATTAGGAAAATATGTGATACTGAGTCTAGGATATATCACTTCTGGAGACACAATAATGTTCACATTCTCCAAACAAGCCAGGCAGTGTCATAAGAACGCCATGCAATGCAATGCTTGAACTACAGAAGTGATGGTTGTCCGGAGGTATAGCCCTATGTGCTGGTGAATATATGTCATATTCCTACAATGGCATGGTAAAGAACGTGTTCTGAAGCCCTCATGATTACAATATTTAGAAAGCAAATGACACGCGTAAAAGCGTAATTGATAAAAAGTCTAGTTGTTGTCCATTCTTGCTCGTGTTTTCTTGTGATATTGGTTGTGTAGTTGTCTATGACTTATTGTCTAACATTGCTTTGCCGATATGTCTGTTGAAACGTTAAATGTGATTAGACAAATAACAATATTAAGCTAACATGAATTGAGAGTTGCCATTCCCTTTACCACTTCCTTGCCTTCTCAAAGCTCAGGGAAAGGAAGTAAGTGACCATTTGTTCATGACAACCTCCGATCTTTTCCACCGGCTGGTATGCTTCTTGGAAGTTCTTGAGCCATTGACAGCTGGGGGCTGGTTTTTTCCCAGCGTCTTTTCTCCCATTGGTGAATCAAAGCAGCTGCTGGTATGTGTCCTGAAGTTACGTCGGCATTCAGAATCGGCGGATAAAGGGATACCCTCTGCCCGATGCTCGAAGACGTGGAACACGGGGCCGTTTCAAGCGGAGGGTAGTCTTCCGAAACCATCCTGTCCACTTTCATGATTGTTGTAAACGGGGCAACCATCCTGTCCACCCACTTCTCTTGGTGTTTCATTAAGAAAGCTCCAGCCGCAAGGACTGGGGGGGTATTCGGTGGCCATAAGTCAGGAGGTTTGGTTGCGACAGTCGGCGGTTTGGCGAAGATTGGATAAGGACACCTTACGTATGGGTTTGTCTCAAATAGGGGACCCTCAAAATGTGTGTTTTCTCTGGTTCTGCTAGAGAACCACCCCCAGCAAGGATACCCAACAGGCAAACCCATATGCCGGGAGCTGGGAGAAAGAAGTTCACCAGCGACCAAAATCCGAGCCCGGACGTCCGTGCCAACCCAAGAGCATCACAGCTGGCAGTTCAGAACATCTCAGCACTCTGGCGCAGAGTAGTTTATGGAACCCAAAAAGATAGGATCAACCCCAAATGAATCATTACAGCCCCACTCCTTTTGGGCCGCTCTTGCTGGGCGTATGTGAGTTTGAGGGCGTTTGCATAGTTGACCCGGAGGAAGGGGGCGCCCAGAACACGGCTAACAAGTTCGATGGGGAACCACTCAGAAAAAGCTGTTGGATATGAGGTTTGCGCAAATTAAGTTGCTTACAAGAAGCAGGGGACTCATTTTTTGTCGGATGTCCTTTTACCACATATGTTGACCATAACTCACATAAGTCGCCAAACGATGTCCACCAAAGGGTCCCCAACCTCACGTCCACATCCACTCGCTGCCTTCCGCCGTTCCGTGGGCGGACTTGTTGGGTTTCGGCACGTGACCCGCTCGTTGTGGACTGTGAAGGCTACACAAAAAGAAAGCACGATGTGCAACGTGGGTTTGTCTGCAAGGCTACCTGTTCACCTGCTTATTCATGACAGTTCGGTCTTTGCGACCAAAGGCACCGCTTTGGACCTTTGGGAAGCAACTGGCTCTGAACCCACGAAAGGCCATCGACCTGTTGCTCAGGGGGAAAGAGCAGAATCGGCAAGCGCCAAGCTTTGAGTTAGCGTCAGTAAAGACCAAAAGGTTTCAACCAGTCAACTGTAACGGGAGAACGGATGGCATCCCTTAGGTTTCTCTTTGCTTTCTCTCCAAAACAGCCCAGCAAAGCCTTCTCAAAAAGACATCATATTGATATTACTGATTACAGACTGCTATGTTGAGCGAACCTCAAATGGGCATGTGCGTTCTCTGCGCGGAAGCAGCTTCCTAAAGACGCAAGTCGAGCTCAGAGGGTTCGACCTATGTTGGGGCCTGTAACCCTTGGTTACGGACCCCACTCGCCACGTACCCAGAATGTACTATATATAGATCTGGCTGTGTCTTTGTTTTGTGTTTTTTGGGGGAGGGATGCTGTGATTGGTTGGGTGTTGAAGAAATCAAAAAGGAACCGACTTTCTTGGAGGTCCCCAATTTTGAGACAACCCCGCATTTGGGACAGGCTCCTTCGCTATTCAACGTGGCAGGGTCAGAAAGCAAAAGCATGCAAAACTTGATTATGAAATGGGAATTCTTGAGGGTGGTTCTAAAGGCAAGCCAAAAGGTAATCAATTTGAGGGGCCCCCTATTTTGACGCATGCCCATATGTGGATGTGAAGGCGCCAAAGGCCCATTTGGCCATTCAATGCGTGATGTTTTCGAGTGAAAAGTCTCACATTTGACAGGCGGGAATGTCTTGTTGGGGGAAGCTTCTTTGTGGTTTAAAAGGAACGCAAATTCGGAAAACTGGAATGCCATTTCTTGGGGGCGATCCCATTCCTATTTTAAGCCCAGGTATCATTCTTCAAGCGACTACATGGAGAGGAGCGGGAGCTACAGCGGCTCCTGGCATTGGCAGATTGCCGAAGGAGGGGCGGGGAGAGTTGCCACTTTGTGGTACCAATCAAAGTGACAGAGTATGGACGGCCCACTTACCATTTCGGAGTCTGAAGGTAGCATGATCACAACCATGTTGGGACGCATTTTCTTCCCATTTGGGTATCAGGCATAGTTTCCGCAACCATGCTTCTGTTCAAGGTCATAGGCTTGCAATGTGTCTCAGTTGTATCATGCGCCGGAAACTGTGGGGTATCTAAGAACGGCTGGGTGGAGCAAGTTTCTTAGTATCGACCTGAAGACGGACCCACACCAGGTCCCATTGGATTTCCATGGGACAAGACGATCGTTCTGTGGTGGTTGACTTTTAAACGCCACCCACTTCAGGCTTTGACAGGATGCTGATCAACTGCAAACTCAACAGAAGGAATACCCAGGATTCAGTTCGCTCTGACGCATATCTTAGTTGGGCCGTAGATCTCAGTCTCAGTGAGGCTTGGGTTGCCTCTTGTTTCGGTGGTTGTGAACGTCACCCTTTGGCTGGCCATGCTCAAGATTGAAGGGAAGATGGCATGTTTGTTTGCTGCCTAAAGTAGGTCACTCCTGAAAACCGGAAGGCTGCGGTCCTGGTTTGCTGTTGTTCTTATCCTGACGTGTTTGATCCTTTGCGGTATGATGTTTGAAGATGACATATTCCAAACACATATAGATGTCTCGTGTGATTGGATGAACAAAACAGTAGAACCGCGACTTCGTGCAAGCTTTGTAAGCGCGCTGCGAAGGCACGGGAGCACTAAGACCACCAACGCCCTTGTGCAAGCCTCCGAAGAGGATGCTGTGAATGCAGAGGGGAAGCCGCCAGTCGGGACCAAGCAAAGCAAGCAGCGACACAACACCAGTTGTAAGGAACTTTGCAAAGAACCCTACAAGGAGCCTTAGGAGCCTGGTAAGGAGCCTGATAAGGAGTCTTATGAGGCTTGAGTCAAGGATTTAAAGCCAGCTGTTGATTCTGCTTCACAGTCGAAATTTCGATTCAACTCTGTCCATATTGAATCTCTATTTAGATTCTAATACGCGTTTGATCAAATTCCTATTTGGTACGAAATCCCTCTTTTCAATCCATTTTAGACTGAGGTCGCTGACTGCGCTGGTAATCGTGTTGAACAAAAAAATGTCAGAATCAACGCATATCGAAGCAACGTGTGTGCATATATGGTCACACCTTCAGCAAGAACACAAGGGAGGCAATCTCAACAGGAGCAACACAACTTGATGGACAATGCCCACAAATCAAAACAGCTCAGTGTTTGTTGGGGTTTCCGTGCGAGATTTTGGGAGGGATAATGCAAAAACAGAAGAAGCAACTGATGGACAACCAAAACCAAAACTACCTTGAGAAAATACAGCAAAAACAATCTGTGAGGGGCATTTATTGGTTTCAGCTCATGTTTCTTCGTTTTCTTTCTTTTACAAAAGGAAAGCACACACACAAGTGTTCTTGTGTTTAGTGTGTTTGTTTGCAATGTTCAGTAAAAGCAAAAAGAAACGGTTTTTTGGTTTGGCCATTTGGCCTTCGAGAAAAGACCAAACAAACTCGAGCTTTTCCATTTTTGAGCTGGACAATTGCAACAGACCAAAAACTGAGGAAAAGCAAAATAAAACAAACTTAAGAAAACAAAAAGACAAAGTTTGGGGCTGAAACCAAGGATTATCCCGCGGATATGTTTTGGCTTTCTCAAGGTTATGTGGGTTTTTCATGTGTTTGCTTTTCTGGCTTACTTTGAAATGAGTAGTTTCTTTGCTTGCATGCTTAGGAAGAGTCAAATTGAGCCAACACATGGTTTTGTTGTTGCGCATGTCCCAGATCTTGTGAAACACCGTTTTTGAATAATGCTTTGCAAGCGCAGAATACTAGAAAATGCGATAAACATACATGTGCTTTTGGCATGTCCCACTAGGGGTTTTGAATACACTTTCATAATTCTGCATCCTAAACATCCGTCTGCAGCTCATGAACCGCACGATACAAGCATGCATGTGTATTGCCAATACACAAAACTGTTTGAAAGGACTTGAAAAAAGCAAACGGGGGCTGACCATGTATATATACGTATCATGATTGCAGCCATCCTTACCAGGCTCATCATAAAGCTCCTTTTTACGGCTCCTTGTCCTCGTGCGAATTATTTTAAAGCTTCTTGCAAAGTTCCTTACAAGGCCTCCCATGATACGCCCCCGCGTCTCCCATGATTCATAAAGCTCCTTAAAACCTCCTCAGGGCTCCTTGTTAATTACCAAAGATGTTGAATGTAATTTAATGTGAAACCAAAGCTTTTGTCTATTCACAATGATGATTGAAAGATGAGTTATTGTCCAATCATGACCTTCATGTTAATAGTTTTTTGGAATTGAATAGGGAAAGGGTTTACTCAAAAAATCATTTTTTAGTTTAGAGTTTAAATATGCATTTGTTAAAAAGGATTTCGGCCAAGCCTAATTAGGATTTCAGTAGCGTTTCATATTGATGCAATATTGCTGGAAGTTGTGTTTTCGACAAAGGAAAGGTGGCGTTTTCAATGTGCAGCTGGGACACAAAACAGCAAGAATGATGAGCTGCAGGTGGACATTGTTCAATAAAGATGGTAGATCGGGGAGGGGGGCTCAGTGAGTATATATATATATATATATGAATGTATACATGTACAGAATACATGTATATATATATATATGTGTGTATATGTATACACACATATATATATATATATGTGTATGAACACGCATGTAGGGAGCTCCCTCCAGGCAGCTTCCGGCCAGACCCCGCAGAGCCTGGTGTCTTGGAAGTGCAGTGGACGGGTTGGGCGGAGCTCGTGCACCGCAGCACCGAGGCCTTTGGGCCAGGCTGGGGCTGGGGCTTCGGTCCGTAGGTTAGAGAGGACTTGTCCGTAGGTTAGGTCAGGCAGGGCTCCAGAAAAAAAAAGAAAAACATGTTGCGACCATTTGAAAAATTGGGCTTTTCCACCAAAAATTAGAGGGAGAGCACCAGTCACGAGGCAATGTTCAGGTGTATAATGTAAGGATCCCTGTCAAGGGCCAACTGAGAATTCAGGGCCCTTGCAGGGCAACATGTTGGACATGTTCTGTTCTGAAATGTTCGGATTGTAGGCCCCTTGTGGTCTCAAAAGGAAACCAAAGCGAGATACCCCCAAACTGGGGTTGACCTATTTTGAGAAACACGGGGAACCGATCGGGGTTCACAATCGAACGGTTTACTTGGCGGTTCCCAGCCATACGGTTCTGTAAGCTTTTAGACTTTAATTGGAGTTTTCTGGGATTTACTACTTATCCCTCCAAAAGTTCAACATGCAGCAACGAACCAACGAACCACTGAGTTCAAAGTGTTTCCGGTCAGCCAACGTGAAGGTCCATCGCTGAGTCAGTTTTTTGGGCGAGCTCACCTAGGGATAGAATGAGCGGTTCACCACATGATGAAGGGCCTTTACTTGGATACGTATTTCAGGTTTTCGAGCTATTATTGGGAAATTTGCAAATGGTGTCCACTGCCCTCAAACCGGAGCTACTTGCAGGGGTTTAATGGGATATACAACCACTAAATAGCCACTATTAAAAGGGTATATACCCCGTGATCCCTTTGACTATTTTCCGCACGCTAGATGTGGATGCCACCAAATGTTGCAGTCTATTCGCGCTTGCTCTTAGCACTTCCCGAGGAGGAATCCACAGCTGGTCCAGAAATGCCCAAGAATAAATATGTTGCATGGTTGAGTTGGTTCTAACGAGCCCATTGGCTTCCCAAGCGAAATCGAAAAGGGAAAGGTTTTGGTTGGTTGCCGAGGCCCTAATTTGGCAAACGGCAATCGGGTGAACCTTACTTGTGGTGGGTTATTTGGTTGAACTGGGCCAACGAGATGAATTTGGACCCTTAACCCTTCACCTGTTTGGAATATGTCTTTGGGAGTTGCTCGAATGGTGGACCCCCAGCTGGTATTCCTATTTTTGGGGCCCAGTTGTATCAATGGCGATCGGTTGGCGCGTATGGAAACGGACTCACATGTGACCTGGAAAATGGGCGACCCTCAATGGGTTCCAAGAAAAGGTTCTGTGCTGCACAAATGGGGCCTAGAATTCATGTTAGTTTTCCTTCAAGTACTCTCCAACGTGGGTTCCTGCTTTAGATTGAAAATTGGAATGCATTGTTTCTGGGCAAATTGCGACCGCACAAAACTGTCGGTGTGCGACCCCGGGCCCCATTAAGGCACAAGGGTTGCCGACATGAATCTTCACCTACATGACGTCCACCAAAGAGTGCCCAATAAGTTTCACCCCCAATATGGAAGTGCAAACATTGGGGTCTACCCCCAATCCCGGCCATGGACTTAAGGGCTCAGAAACACAAAAAGGGCCGGATTCTAACATTTTCAGGGTGGATCAAATCAGGGCCCAACAGAATTTGGAAGCCCCGACCGTGCTGGGACTTCCTCTCAGCTTGCCTTCGGCGTGATGTCAGGCAGCATCACGGGCAAGTGGGAGGCTAAACTCATCGACGAAGAGCGGAAAAGAGGAGCTGCAGACTATCCGACCGGCCCGGATGGGGCCTATGTCCAAACTATTATACGTATGTATATATATATATAAATATGCTCGGTAGATCAAACATGAGACACAATCTGGGACTATGATTTTCCACGTACCCGTTCTTGTCGGCCAAGTATGGTCGATCCCCATCCCTAAAAATTTGCCTGAACGTGGCCCCTCAATAACTCCCACCCATGAATGTATAGGGAGGGCTCCTAATCCACATCTTTTGAGAGGCACTTGTCACACAGTTCGCATGGTTTTGCCTTGGGCCAATAAAAATTCCATCTCCTCTTGGAGAAGCATTTAACTCGCTGTTTCTGTCCGGTCACATGGATGTTATAAATCTGCTATTCGCCGTGTCCCGATTTCATTGCCATACCAGTGGGAGCTGCCGTTGGAAGTCGCCTCTTTCCTTTCCGATTACGTGGGGAATTGGGTAAGTGGTTTGATGCGTCGATGGAGGCTGCATGTCTAGATGTGTGGCGGCGATTGCGTTGGGCTCTGATACATCGGCTGAGGCTGCATTTTGGGATTGGTTGCGATTCCGGGGCGTGTCTTGTTGTCTTGGCGGGTGTGCGGTCGGTGTTGTGGAGAGGCTTGCGGTCGGTGGCACCGAGCAATCAAACCAACGCGCGTGTCCATCGTCTTGGCGTGTATGCGGTCGTCAGCAAGAGGCAGGGAGAACAAGGGGAGGAAAGAAAGAAAAAAGAAAGAAAGAAAGAAAGGAAGGAAGGAAGGAAGAAAGAAAGAAAGAAAGGAAGAAACAAAGACAGAAGACGAATGAAGAAAGAACGAACAAACAAACGAGAGAAAGAGAGAGAGAGAGAGAGAGATAAAAAAACGGAGGAAATAAATACAACAACAAAGAACTAAAGATAGAAATAAAGAGAGAACCAGAACAATACATAAACAACGCTAGAAGTCAGGCACGAACAAAATAACGAGAGAAAAGACAAAAAGGTAAGAGCGGCAAAAAGGAAAGCAATTGAGAAAGAAAGAGCCACATAAATAAAGACAAAGGGAAGGAAAGGAACAAGATGACTACATGCAATAAAGAAAGAAACAAAGACAGAAAGAAAGCAACAAAGACATAAGAACAAAAGAGCGATATACATACATAATCAGTAAAGAAGATAAATAAGCAAATACACGAAGAAATACATATCGAACACAATGCAGACATACAGGAATAACAATTGACAAAGAGGGTCAGAAAGCAAGACAAACAAACAACGAAAGCGAGAGAGCAAGACACAGTTGATGCAAGAAATTACAACATGAACGAATGAAACAACATAAATAAATGAAAGCACTAAACTCACAAGGAAAGAACTACAGAGAGAACAACATACTCTCAGAAAGGAAGAAAGAACACAATGACAACTCACAGACATAAACATAGAAATACAGATAAACATAAATAGATAGAGAATAAATTAGTACAGACATAGAAAAATCAAACAATGCAACGAGAGAGAGAGAGAGAGAAAGAGAAAGAGAGAGGGAGAGCAAGAAAGCAAGACATATAGGAAGACACGAATCATGACATCAAGGAAGAAAGAGAGATAGGGAGGTGGCTTTGGCTGGGGGGTGTTTGTTCAGGTCTCTCTTTCAGTCTCGGTTGTGTGTTCCCGTCCAGCCTGCCCACATTTCGAGAGGGAAGGGCTAGCACCTTTTGAACCCGTAGTGCGGGCTTCGGATCCTCATCTCAAGCTTATCCAGGGATAGCCCCTCTTGGGTCTTCTCCAACATCGTTTGGCATACGGGTTTGGGCCAATTGGAGCTTCGCAGGACCCTCCGTCCTGGTGCCGACCAGCATGGGGCGCTTGAGTGTACCAGAGTCAGGCTGCACAGAGTCCCGAGCTTTTCCAGGCGAAAAGGAATGCATTCGGGGATTGGAGCATCGTGGTGAGATTGGGCGTCTTTACAAACCAACTCAAAGGACATGTACGCGAAGCGCCAAGCCGAAGCGCCGGGCTTTGAGCCTCAAAACCGAGGCTTTGCCAGAAATGGGCCAAGGAGGGTGAAGGAGGTCTGGCCTGCGCCCGCACCAAGTCAGTTCGCCTCAAGCGACTTGGAAGCACAGAGCTGTGGGTAGTTGTTTTGTTTGAGGTCACATTCTTGGGAGTGGTTTAAACGGGACGCCAAAAGGATTTTTGTTTTACACACCATGAAACCAAAGTTTCTTTCTCAAGCTTTCAGCTTTTCCGCCAGCATTTTGCGACCTTTTTCGGTGGTTCGTGTTCCTTTCAAGCTTGGTGCCCTTTTCAGTTTGATGTAAAGGGAACCTTTTTTCCTCCAACCCCCCCCTACCCCAGAACCTCCGAACCCACCTATCAAGTAACCAATTATCTCGGGTCGCAATCAGAGGCATTGGCTGTGAAGCCTCCATATCCTGGACACCATCAAAGGATGTTTCAACGACAAGTGTTTTGGCATGTTTAAACCGCTTAATTCCCATGTTTCTGGACTTTAGTCACTTGTATTCGAACCATTTGTAAGTGACACACGCTAAAAGTGTCGCAGCTTCTTTCGGCCCATCCAGGAAGTCCGAGATCATGCCGAATCTCAGCGAGGCGGGGGACTCTGGCGAGATTCGATTCCCTTGAGCGTTTGCGTGGCCCGGGGGAACCAAAAGGACGCGTCGTGTTTTTTGAGTTGGTGCCTCTTTTTTGCGGTTCTAACGGGAAGCCAAAAGGAAAACCCTTTTTGGGGGGCTCCCCAAAGGACACATCCACTTAGCCCCTTGACCAGGCGTTGGCCAGGCCCAGCCCCCTGGCCTAAAGGAAGAAGGAGAGCTCAACGTATAGCTCCGAATGTTTGACCTGTCCTCGGATTCTTACCGAAGTCCTTTTCGGCTTCCATTTGCTTCAAAATGGTGTTGTCAGTGTTCATTGTTACTGTTATTATCAGTCATATGTATTTTGATTCAGTAGCGTTGTTGTTTTTTTCATTATTTCTTTATTATCTATATAACATGTTCACTAGCGTTTACTTTTGTTGTGGTGTTTAGTCTGATCATTGTTATTATCAGGAGTGGTTTCTATTAGAGTTGTTGTTCTTACTAGTTTCATATTCGGAATTATCATGTATTATTCGTCATGATATTTAATGGTATTATTCAGTATTGGTGTATCAATGTCAGTGATATTCATGGTTGTTGTTACGCATTGTTCCTTTATTATTGTTCATGAGTATCAGTTGTTATTGTGGTAATTCGTGTCATTATTGTTCACGATCAAGTAGTAAAATGCTTCGTCATTGATGTTAGAATTATTATCGTCATGAGTTAGTATTGTGTATTGTTATTGTTATTGTTACGCTCATTATTATGATGTGCTTATTGATGAAATTGTGCATTGTGACCGGACAGGGGGTACGAAAATCGATTCGCCCCACTTGCCCCACTTGCCCCACTCGCCCCACTCGCCCCACTCGCCCCACTCGCCTCACTCGCCCCACTCGACCCACTTGCCCCATTTGCCCCACTTGCCCCACTTGCCCCACTTGCTCCACTTGCCCCACTTGCCAGTGGAGTGGGTCGTGTGGGTCGTGTGGGTCGTGTGGGTCGTGTGGGTCGTGTGGGTCGTGTGGGGCGAGTGGGGCGAGTGGGGCGAGTGGGGCGAGTGAGGCGAGTGGGTCGAGTGGGGCGAGTGAGGCGAGTGGGGCGAGTGGGGCGAGTGGGGCGAGTGGGGCGAGTGGGGCAAGTGGGGCAAGTGGGGCAAGCGGTGCAAGTGGCGCGGCTTGGGCCAGTGGGGGCATGACTATGTTGTACTTGTTGGAATCACTATGTCGTACTTGTTTTGCAAGAGTAGTCATAAGCTTGGCGAGCCTTGTATGTATGTATGTATGTATGTATGTAATGTAGTGTAGTGTAGTGTAGTGTAATGTAATGTACTGTAATGTCATGTAATGTATGTATGTATGTATGTAACGTATCTATGTATGTATGTATGTATGTATGTATGTAATGTACGTACGTACGTATGTATGTATGTATGTATGTATGTATGTATGTATGTATGTAAGTTATGTAAGTTATGTATGTATGTATGTATGTAATGTATGTATGTATGTATGTATGTATGTAATGTATGTATGTATGTATGTATGTATGTATGTATGTATGTATGTATGTATGTATGTATGTATGTATGTATGTATGTATGTATGTATGTATGTATGTATGTATGTATGTATGTATGTATGTATGTATGTATGTATGTATGTATGTATGTATGTATGTATGTATGTATGTATGTATGTATGTATGTATGTATGTATGTATGTATGTATGTATGTATGTATGTATGTATGTATGTATGTATGTATGTATGTATGTATGTATGTAATGTATGTATGTATGTATGTATGTATGTATGTATGTATGTATGTATGTATGTATGTATGTATGTATGTATGTATGTATGTATGTATGTATGTATGTAATGTATGTAATGTAATGTAATGTAATGTAATGTAATGTAATGTAATGTAATGTAATGTATGTATGTATGTATGTATGTATGTATGTATGTATGTATGTATGTATGTATGTATGTATGTATGTATGTATGTATGTATGTATGTATGTATGTATGTATGTATGTATGTATGTATGTATGTATGTATGTATGTATGTAATGTATGTATGTATGTATGTATGTATGTATGTATGTATGTATGTATGTATGTATGTATGTATGTATGTATGTATGTATGTATGTATGTATGTATGTATGTATGTATGTATGTATGTAATGTATGTATGTATGTATGTATGTATGTATGTATGTATGTATGTATGTATGTATGTATGTATGTATGTATGTATGTAATGTATGTATGTATGTATGTATGTAATGTATGTATGTATGTATGTATGTATGTATGTATGTATGTATGTATGTATGTATGTATGTATGTATGTATGTATGTATGTATGTATGTATGTATGTATGTATGTATATGTATGTATGTAATGTATGTATGTATGTATGTATGTATGTATGTATGTATGTAATGTATGTATGTATGTATGTATGTATGTATGTATGTATGTATGTATGTATGTATGTATGTATGTATGTATGTATGTATGTAATGTAATGTATGTATGTATGTATGTATGTATGTATGTATGTATGTATGTATGTATGTATGTATGTATGTATGTATGTATGTATGTATGTATGTATGTATGTATGTATGTATGTATGTATGTATGTATGTATGTATGTATGTATGTATGTATGTATGTATGTATGTATGTATGTATGTATGTATGTATGTATGTATGTATGTAATGTATGTATGTATGTATGTATGTATGTATGTATGTATGTATGTATGTATGTATGTATGTATGTATGTATGTATGTATGTATGTATGTATGTATGTATGTATGTATGTATGTATGTATGTATGTATGTATGTATGTATGTATGTATGTATGTATGTATGTATGTATGTATGTATGTATGTATGTATGTATGTATGTATGTATGTATGTATGTATGTATGTATGTAATGTATGTGTATGTATGTATGTATGTATGTATGTATGTATGTATGTATGTATGTATGTATGTATGTATGTATGTATGTATGTATGTATGTATGTATGTATGTATGTATGTATGTATGTATGTATGTATGTATGTATGTATGTGTATGTATGTTATGTATGGTATGTATGGTATGTATGGTATATGTATGGTATGCATGGTATGTATGGTATGTATGGTATGTATGGTATGTATGGTATGTATGGTATGTATGGTATGTATGGTATGTATGGTATGTATGTATGTATGTATGTATGTATGTATGTATGTATGTATGGTATGTATGTATGTATGTATGTATGTATGTATGTATGTATGTATGTATGTATGTATGTATGTATGTATGTATGTATGTATGTATGTATGTATGTATGTATGTATGTATGTATGTATGTATGTATGTATGTATGTATGTATGTATGTATGTATGTATGTATGTATGTATGTATGTATGTATGTATGTATGTATGTATGTATGTATGTATGTATGTATGTATGTATGTATGTATGTATGTATGTATGTATGTATGTATGTATGTATGTATGTATGTATGTATGTATGTAATGTATGTATGTATGTATGTATGTATGTATGTATGTATGTATGTATGTATGTATGTATGTATGTATGTATGTATGTATGTATGTATGTATGTATGTATGTATGTATGTATGTATGTATGTATGTATGTATGTATGTATGTATGTATGTATGTATGTATGTATGTATGTATGTATGTATGTATGTATGTATGTATGTATGTATGTATGTATGTATGTATGTATGTATGTATGTATGTATGTATGTATGTATGTATGTATGTATGTATGTATGTATGTATGTATGTATGTATGTATGTATGTATGTATGTATGTATGTATGTATGTATGTATGTATGTATGTATGTATGTATGTATGTATGTATGTATGTATGTATGTATGTATGTATGTATGTATGTATGTATGTATGTATGTATGTATGTATGTATGTATGTATGTATGTATGTATGTATGTATGTATGTATGTATGTATGTATGTATGTATGTATGTATGTAATGTATGTATGTATGTATGTATGTATGTATGTAATGTATGTATGTATGTATGTATGTATGTATGTATGTATGTATGTATGTATGTATGTATGTATGTATGTATGTATGTATGTATGTATGTATGTATGTATGTATGTATGTATGTATGTATGTATGTATGTATGTATGTATGTATGTATGTATGTATGTATGTATGTATGTATGTATGTATGTATGTATGTATGTATGTATGTATGTATGTATGTATGTATGTATGTATGTATGTATGTATGTATGTATGTATGTATGTATGTATGTATGTATGTATGTATGTATGTATGTAATGTATGTATGTATGTAATGTGATGTAATGTAGTGTAATGTAATGTAATGTATGTATGTATGTATGTATGTATGTATGTATGTATGTATGTATGTCATGTATGTCATGTATGTATGTATGTATGTATGTATGTATGTATGTATGTATGTATGTATGTATGTATGTATGTATGTATGTATGTATGTATGTATGTATGTATGTATGTATGTATGTATGTATGTATGTATGTATGTATGTATGTATGTATGTATGTATGTATGTATGTATGTAATGTAATGTAATGTAATGTAATGTAATGTATGTATGTATGTATGTATGTATGTATGTATGTATGTATGTATGTATGTATGTATGTATGTATGTATGTATGCATGTATGTATGTATGTATGTATGTATGTATGTATGTAATGTATGTATGTATGTATGTAATGTAATGTAATGTAATGTATGTAATGTAATGTATGTATGTATGTATGTATGTATGTAATGTATGTATGTATGTATGTATGTATGTATGTATGTATGTATGTATGTATGTATGTATGTATGTATGTATGTATGTATGTATGTATGTATGTATGTATGTATGTATGTATGTATGTATGTATGTATGTATGTATGTATGTAT